CTCTCTCTCTCTCTCTTTCTCACACACACACTCTCAGTGTCTCTCGCTCTCAGTGCTAGTGTGTGTGGGTGTGCTGGAGGACAGCATGAGTCTTGTGGCTCTCACGGTGTTGTGAGAGAGAGTGACGGGAGGCGAGGCTCTCCCTGGCTCCTCTCTCCTCTCGGCTTGCATCCCCCAACCACAGATGAGGGAGGGAGAGAGGGAAGGGAGGGGCAGGCACCTTGTTACTCATTTATACAGCTCCCATCCCACCGTGCCGCCATGTTTGTAGAAGTGGGCCACTCCTTCACACAGGCTGACCCCCTCCAACAAACACACACACACACACACGCACCTACCTCCCTCCCCTCCCTCCCCATGTCTGAGGCTATAAAAGGAAAGCGGGGTGAGGACTAGCCTTTGGGGAGTGTGCAGTAAGAACAGATGCACACACAAACACACACACCTTAACTCTTCAATGTGAATAAGTCAGATGCACTGTACAAAACCCCCTCAGAATTAGGTCTACCAGTGCATTACTGCTGCATTAAGAAACTATTTGGAAAATTCAGACACCTGTATCACCTGACAGTCAGCTGATGAGGTTGTATCGTGTTATAATTTCTTTGCAGGTTATCATGATCTTTGCAGGAGTGATGAATGACTAAATCTGCAGAGATGCATGATGGGGGGTTTGTTAGGTCATAATCTGGAAACTTGACCTTACAAATTCCTAAAAAAAAACTTCAGCATTATAGTTAAAGATAGAGACAAGAAACATCCGTAGTTAAAAAAAAAAAAAACACCTCAAAATCTCATAATCTGCTTGATCAGTACATGTAAATAGTTGACATCACATTTTCCCCCAACACTTTAAAATCACTCTAAACTAGTGAAGGAAAAAAATCTCTAACTCTGTTGTGTAACAATGTGTCACTTTTATTTTTGATCAAATGTCAGGAAATATGATAAATGCCTGATATCTCTTGTTTTCAGACCCCTAAGTTAAAATTTCATCAATGATATGATGCAGAGAAAAGCTGCAGAACATTATGTTAGAAGCAGGAACCAGTTCATGTTTGACATTTTTGCCTGAAATAGGACCTTAAAGATAAATGAAAAATTTAACATGTTATTGACTGATTTCATGTTGATTACAAGCAATTAAATGACTATTAATGTCACCGCTGTTCACAATTATAACTCACTGTGTTTCAACACTCAACAAAACGCAGCTGTACAGGTATAATTCATGTTCTTCCCTAATTAATGCCAATATCCTGAGGTAACTTAATATCAGTTGGTTCATAGCTAAGCTCAACCCACAGCTTTGCAGTGCAGCAGATGCTACAGATGCTTTCTTACAGTCCAATCAATAACAGGATGAGAGGCTTTGACAATATACCAGGCTTTTAATTAGCTCCATGCCCTTTCACACCTTCCTATAATATTTTACATTTTATGCTTCAGTGTTTAAGTGGCAAAGGTCTTTAACTGCACTGAAAACAGTAATTGCCATATTATTTTTTAATGTCCTGATCGATTAACTGTAGCAATATCGCTGTCAACAGCACCCAGACATTTTGTAGTCACACAAGGAGTGTGTGAATCCAAGAAGGTCATTAAGATGATATATTTTACCATAAAAATTATCCAGGTGTTCTATTTTCATTTTATTTTATTCTTTTTACACTGCCTGGCCAAAAAAAAGTCACCACCAAAAAAAAAGGTCATACACTCTAATATTTCGTTGGACCGCCTTTAGCTTTGATTACGGCACGCATTCGCTGTGGCATTGTTTCGATAAGCTTCTGCAATGTCACAAGATTTATTTCCATCCAGTGTTGCATTAATTTTTCACCAAGATCTTGCATTGATGATGGTAGAGTCTGACCTCTGCGCAAAGCCTTCTACAGCACATCCCAAAGATATTTGCTTAGTTAAATCCAGGTGGCGACTTTTTTTTTGGCCAGGCAGTGTATGTAACAATGTCAGCAGGGTGATTCTTCATTCCTTCCTTCCTGTCTAATTTTATTTCATTTATTTTATTTTTTTGGAAGGGGTTGGGTGATATGAACAGTGACAAATCAGCAGAATATTAATGATTATTAATAACTGATTAACTGTGTAAAAAATTGCAAACATTTCTAAACATTTTCTGGTATCCATCATTGTAAAGTTCTATTTGTGTACAGGACTTTTGGCTGGACATAACAAGCAATTTAAAGATGTCACATTGGGCATGGCACGTTGTGATGGGCATTTTACTGTCTTATTTCAAACATCCAATTTAATTTACCTAGTTATTAAAAGGTGTCCATCCAGCTTTTCTGTCAGATTCCTTTGCAGCCTGAATAAAATCTTATTTTAGCTGTGAAAAGATTATACAATGACACTGAATTACAAATATATTGTGATTTGTTTCAGTCTGCAAAGGCCAAAAATGTTATCCTCTCTCAATATCAAAGCTCTATCTGGAAACCCTGATCCCTGAAGGAAACAGTGGATACGCCTGAGTGTCAGTGGCACACCCCTCTTGGTCATATCAGGCAGCAGGGATGCACCAGACAGAGAAGCTGGAAGTCTGAGCGGAAAAAAGCGCATCAGTCAAAAACGGTGACCATCCTCCAGACAGTGTGCACAGATCCACACATCCTTACCTCCTCAGGCTCCATCTGGCATCCTTCAGCATGCTCTTCTTCCTGCCCATCTCCCGCTGCAATAGCAGCTGGCAGCGGATAAAGATGTTTTGGGACGCTGCTCGCCGGGATACAACTCCGTCCAGCGGGTGACACGGAGAGGAGGATAGGAGGAGGTGCTACGCCACTGAAGCACAAGTGACATGAATTCTGGGAGTATGAGTCCGGATTCAGAAGTGACCTGCTGTTGCCTGTTTTTCTGCCAACTCATGAATCCACCTCCATTTACGTGCAGTTCCGACGTAGGGCCGGAAGGCGGCGACATTGTACAGAGAATTAGGCTTGTATCTCTGTACAATGATCTCCAATTCTGGTTTCAAAATGATCAATTAGTCTCCAGTTTTAAGGGAAAGATCACTCCCGGTACCGTTGTAGCAGTGCTATGAACTACTCGGAAAATTGAGATCGTTTCTTTGTGATATCAACACGCCAATATGCCAGAGAGCTGCTGGATGACTAATGTTAACTCAACGACTGACAAACCTATTTTAAGCCCAGGCTTGGCCAGTTTGAAATGTTTTAACTTACTCATACTCGTACACAGTCATGTTTTAAGCTAGCGCAAAGGTAGTGCTATCATAATTCTCTCTCATATCTTGCCTTCCATCACCAGAAGGGCTCAAAGGTAGTTACAAACCATATTGGCCTTAATATTCTCTGGTCAAAATGTAATTCAAGGTTGTAATTCAACCAGACAGGACGAAGAAACGAAGTTCACTCAAGATTTTGCAGTGTAATGTCTCTTCCCACAGAATACACCTGTCCTCCGAACAAAGATGGCGGCGATCTCAGTGACTTCACTTTGGTAATTAGCGTTAGCTTAGCTTAGCTAATTAGTAGTTATCATAACGTTACAGTAGCATCCCGTGACTCTTTACTAATGGTCTAATGCACTTTGTTGTGCCGCCATATTGAAATGTAATTAAAACAAACTAAAGAAAATAAATGCTATCTCTAAAAGGCCATAAAGTAATGTTAACATTACACTAGCTAATTAAATTACTTTTCTAACAATGGCACAAAGTTAACACTCACCACAGAGTAAACTAAGTCATTCATTACAAATACAAATAGCAATTAAGTAGAAAGAAATAGGCTAATTAAACGTTCAGCTCTCCCATGCCATTTTAATTTAACAGAAAATCTCATAAGCTCTCAACAATTTAATTGCTTTCGGTTTCTACAGAAAAATTACAAAAAAAAAAAAGCCTTAAAACAAAACACATTAGTTACAAAAAAATCAGGTATGGGCAGTGTTACATATTTACAGTGGAAATGCAAAGGCTAAAATGTAATGGTGTTAAATTATATCAATGAGGGCCACCAGCCTTTCTATTTTTTCAACACGTGTCAAATGTCTTTAGATTTACCAGCTGAGTTGATTGCAGCTCTTCCTTTTTTACAGAGCTATTGCTTAATATTACAGTAAGATTACCACACTGCCAGGAAATAGCATCAAATACTTTTTTTTTCTTCTGTAACATGTCAGTGTTCCCTGTTGAAGTCATTCAATGATCTGCTTTCTAATGCAAATCCAAATGCATTTTTAGGTGTTTTGGACTTGGCGTGCATTGACTGCAGGATTCCTGCTCTGTGCATCTTTCCCTGCTTTTGAATGCCATATCGTCTACTCTCCCTGCCAGCCAGTCAGCTTCCTGCAGCAAAGAAGCCACCTCTGCAGACTTGGGGACATTAATGTCCCCTGTTTGGTCGCCTCTTCCTCTTGGTGTGTTAAAACAAGGATGCCTTTGAGTCTCCCTGCCCAGCTGCACAGCCACATTCACAAGCACAAACACTACCTCCCTGTGTAATCACTTGCTACCCTGAGAAATGACAGAGGGAGTTTAAAAAAGAGGGAAAAATCAGGGTGATAGTGGTGATTTGGGGGACACTGAAGACCCTGGATAAACAAATCTAGGAGGGAGGAACGTGTCAGGATTCAGCAATGTTGTAAGATATCTAACGATTCCTTTTCAGGAACTGATTCTTCTGCCAAGTTCAGGTGATGCCCCAGAAAACTGCATCAAAAAGTGACACTGAGGTGTGGCCTATTTTTTTCTCTCTCTGTTGATGCTCTGAAAAAAGAACCACAGATGTCGCTTCCTGGAGTACACTGATGGTGTTCAGATGATTGCTCATCACTATCTCTCTCTAGCTCTCCTCCTCCTTCCTCTATGGGTACTGCATTTGTGTTCACAGTTCTCTCTCTCTCTCTTCTCCCCTCCCCCTTGAGCAAGCACACACATACACACAGAAACACACACACATAGAAACTGATGTGAGTTCCCCTATCTGTCAGAGCCAGTTCCTCCATTTAAGATGCTGACTTGTTTATGTTGAAGGGACAAGTGAATGACTTTAGTTAGCTCTTTCACTCTACTTTGAAGCTTGTTCGAGGCTTTTTCTCTCAGCATGTTTGCTTTTTTGTAGGCGACGGGAGCATGAAGTCTGTTTTGTCGCTGATTTGTGGTTGATAGATGTCTTCAGATAGCAGAGAGAGAGAGACCGACACACAGAGAGGTTTGATAAGCAGGGTTTTAGGTGACTGTCGATGAGTGGTAGGTGGGCAGCCCTCAGCCCCAGCAGCTTTCCATCCTGTGCCCGTTCTTGCTGTCCTGGGCACATAAACATTTAGAGGACACAGAGGAAGAGAAGGAGGAGGAGGAGGAGGAGCAGGGTCAACCATGGAGCTGTAGGGACACGCTCAGATGCCCGTGCGGATCACCAGTGGAGGAGGAGTGCCGCTCAGGAGAAGAGCTCTGCGATGAACAAGACCAAGAGGTAATTAAAAAGAAGAGAGTGAACCAAAACTGAGAGTCTGGTGCACTCAGACCCACTTGCAAACTCAGTTTCTGAGTGAGTATGTGTCAGCAGCAAGTGTGTTGTGTGCAGCGAAGATGTGTGAACCTTGAGGTTATGAGATGCAGTGTGGTTTGTGCAAAGGCTCTTGACAATTCGAAGAGAAATGAGGGCATTTAGATTTATTTTCCGCTTGGTGTGTGTGTGTGTGTGTGTGTGTGTGTGTGTGTGTGTTTTCTGCAACTTATTTAAAGCTAGATAGTGTGCAATGAAAAAAAGAGAGCGTCGTTGTGGTAAGTTGCACATAACACACATACACACTCACAGACAGTCACAGCTAATATATTTGACCTGCATATCAGTTAAGAGTATCAACATCTCACATTATTTGTGTGTACTGCACACAAGCGAGCTCTGACATTCAACAGTTACACGTGCCTGTTCAGTGCTGCCTGCTCACCTTTCCATGGAAATGTGTTCTGCTTTTCTGTTATCTTCAGCTAATCTCAATTTACATGTCACTTCAGTTATATATTTTTTTTGCATTAGATATTAGATACTGATGTGTATCGACACGTTTAGTGGCCCTGTGTTTTTAATGGTACTTTTTTACTGCTGTAGATGTGACCGCAGCTCTTATCAGATTGCCTGGAATGAAAGGGTTGGGTGCCGAATGTTAAGGTAGTCAGATGTGTGTTGTGTGTGATTTAGCTACCTGAGTTTAAGGTGGACTGCTAGAGAGGCCACATCACTGTGCTTCCCCTTCAGTGGGGAGGTTATCTTACAGTTTGTTTGTATTTTACAATTGGTAACATGCATTTCTCAAACTGAGTTCACTTTTTCAGAACTCTCTTCACACAGTCAGCACAACAAAGTCAATGCATTCAGTGACACATCTCTCAAAATCCATGAATTGTTTTATCATTCAAACTCAAAAATTTGCATTCAAGAAAATAAAAGCACAAAAATACATAACAGGAAATGACCTAAAACTAGACTACAATATATGCTCTGTTACATCTATATCTAGAAAAGAATTTTTTAAAATGAAATGCATAAAGCTCTAATTGGGACATACAGCACTGAGCATTATTTCCTGTGATGACCTCTATAAAAGATGAGGAAAGACAGCAGGTGAGGAAGAATCCAGAAGGTGCTGTAATTGTATGGGACAGTTATTTCCCTGTTAAAAGTTTTTTTGGGAGGGGAGTTTCCAAGGACAGAGGCCTCTGTGGTAAATTGTGATTTGCGGTATTGGGCTTTATGAATAAAATTGAATTGAACTGATGCGTGTCCTCTCCCACTCACAGAGTGGTAAACAGCTCATCCTAGAAGGGCTTCACTTTCCCTCACCTTACTCTCCATTCCTCAACCCCACAGAGGAGTTCTTTTCTTTTAAGACCACCAGCCACATGATGTGATGTCCCTCTAGGATGCAGATGTCTGGGTGTCTGGACATACCCACCAGGGATGGATCAGGCATACATAAAGATTCCTTCCCAGTATTGTTGCAAGAGAGGACATAAGGTGTGATATAGATGAGACCTTGTGGCCAAATGCAGAAGACAGGGATTTCTATATCTGTAGCTGTCCTATACAAGAAGTCACTATGTACAGTTTTGTATCACATTACTGGAATTACTTAAGTTTCACTTTGTGCACGTGGAATTACAGCAATCTGCAAAAATAGCACAACAAAGCCTATTGAAGCACTTTTTAATCATTTCTGTGACATACACTGTAAGGAAGCACAATAACTGCAGTAAAGAAGTTACTTTTGTTGAAATGGAATATTTCAAGGACAATAGCGGCACATATTGCAAGGCACCTGTTGTTAGTTTCGTTTGCGTCATTGTGTGATGAGTGTCGAAGTGTTACTGTTTTGGTTGCATTTGTGCATTTTGGAATTAAAATTAAAAACAAAAAACAATAAACTGTAAATCAGCAGTTAGAGTTACTGGAATACAAAAGGCGATTGATGATGATGATTACTGTATGGTTTGCACAAATGGTTGTGTGTGTGTGTGTGTGTGTGTGTGTGTGTGTTTCATCAAAACATGACAACATAAATTAACTCATCCTGCTGATTTAAGCAAAGGGAAATAAGAATAACTGATTGGCCAAGTGCTTCTGTGTGTGTGTGTGTGTGTGTGTGTGTGTGTATGTGTGAGAGAGATACTGACCGTGTGTGTAGTTGCACAGGTAGCCCATTATTAAATTCAAGGCTGCAGTCTTAAACAGTCACAACATTTGCTGCCATTTTTCTAATGCTAACTACAGTGGTTGTTACAGTGGCCTTATTGTTGCACCAAAAGGATGAATGGCTCAGTGCAGTAGATGCAGAGGGAACAAGAACGCAGGTTGTGAGAGGGGAGAGAGAAAAAGAGCAGCTCACAAACAAGGCCTTCAAAGGGCCCTGGCTTCAATTAATCAATTAAGGAAAGAAAGAGAGGAATTTGCATATCCCCCCGCCAGTGTGAGAGCGAGAGAGGGAGAAAGGGGAGGGGGTACTGGATCTGTAGCCAGGAGTCTTGACACAGATGGGAAAGGAGAGTGAGAGGGGGATTTCCAAACAAAAAAAGGAGAAGCTGTTTCCTGAATGCTTTGAATAGAGCAAGGATGAAGGAAGAGGAAAAAAGTGGGCGAAGAAGTAGTCAGAGAGGAAAAGGAGGTGTGGAAGGTCATCCTAAAACTAAATCAGTGATATGACAGACCCAGACCCAAGTTCAATAACACTTAAAGAAGACACTCGTTAGGTTTTTCTCCTCATTGTCATTCACTATCAAGTTTCAGCAGTGATGTGTTTCCATGGATGCAGCGGTACACAGAAGGGGTAGTTACTATGTTGTGTATCTGACTCCTAGGAAAAGGTAAATGCAAATACCCAAACAGTAACTCCTATTGTGTTAAGATTTGCATGGCAGTCCACCACACGCTGACTCTATTTACCAACAGCTCTCTGACTCTTAAGCTGGCCAGGCTGATTACACAGAAAAGATACCACTGCCTGCTGTGCCGTGCATTACCTGCTCAGCACTCTGGGGGAAATTCCCTGACAGACGTCATGACATGAATAACATTTCCCCATCAGCACTTCTGTTTGTAGTAGCGAGTGTGTCTCCTCATATGTGCGGCCACGATGACAGACAGAGCTGGATTCACTCTGAGTCAAACAGAAAGATGACAAGTTGTAAAGGGCATTGAGATAGGAGAGACATCGATCGGAAGTCAGGAAATCAATTGGCCAACTGTACGATAACAAATTAATCATTTAAAAAAAAATTTATTTCTATACATTTACTTCATTAGTTTGCAAATTATTAAAAAATATAAAAGATAAACATGGGGCTATTCATACATTTTACAGGACACAATAAAGAGATTAAAATGGGAAAATTGATTCATCAAGCAAAAAAGTGTTCCAGCCTCACCTTTAGCTCTGGGATATCTGGTAGTCATTCACACAATCTATGATATTTTTAATCTTAAAAGGATTTAATAGATTACTCAGTAAAGACTGATAATTAGTTGACAACCTCCAGTCATATATTAATGAGTGCATATGTTTCATTTCTGCATTGGGGGTGACACATAAAACTGGGGGATGGGGGTCCTCCCTCAGAACATTTTGAGCATCAAACACTTAATATCCTGCATTCTGGTGATTTTTTGTGTGTCCATTTTGGTCTTTTCGGCCTTAATTTATGGTAGAAATGTCTTTAATCTTGTCAAGTAAAAGTCCTCTGCTACTTTCATGTTTTTGTTGGAGGAGACAAATGTACAGGCTCTAACCATTGAGGGGCATGTGTAACCTGCATCTCCCCTGAAATCTACACCAATGTACATTGAATTTTATGAAGGCACCAGCCTCTAGAGGTGGGAATTGTGGGTTCATCCCTCCTGAGTATGTCAAATGATGTTTAGTTTATACTGTACTTATTTGAAATTTCTAGGAATCAGCCAAATGCTGTTGCACTGTTGTCAGATGAACACTTAAGGAGCTTAGGGAAAAAAACAAGCTTTAAGCTGCTTAAGTCTTTTTGACATTGTTTACTGGTTGGCTAATTCTCTCAACTAACAGAGAAGTCAAGTTAAGTCAGTATTATTTATATAGCCCCAAAAATCCCAAATTACAAATTAGCCTCAAAGGGCTTTACAGTGTGGACAGAACATGACAAACTGAGGGTCTGAGGACAGAGAGAGACACATTTAATTTTTCAAGTTATCTTAAATCAAGGACATCAAAAACATGTGATGAGATACAAGTTGTGCACTGGACAATAGAAGTCTAACAGGTGGCTGAGGTATAGATAAAGTGAACCCAGGAACCTCCATGTGTCATGAGGCTTACCTATAACGGTAAAACAGCTCACAGTGGTACATACTGTGCTGTTTACTGTTAGTGTTTTGAATGCAGTAGCCAGCTGGTGTAATGAAGCGAAGAGAAGGAGGAGGAGGAGAGGTGGGGTTTTGTTGTCCAGCAGGTTTCCAAACCAGCCATTGGGAGCCAGACTACCGGGATGTAGAGACATAGGATTGTCACTCACACAACCCTCCACCCCCCCATCAGGGTGTCTGAATTCAGGCATGGCTGATGGGGAGATGTGTGGTGTGACAACTGTGATGGGCTGGATAAAACAGCAGGTACAGGCAGGAGAACAGCTTGTGGTATAAATAGATGAGTTAATGTCATCACATACGCCTGTATGAATCTGTGCATCCATGAGTGTCCATCAGTGTTAGAAGAAGTACTCAGTTATTGTACCTAAGGAAGATTGCAAATATAATGTGTAGAAATACTTTGTTACGAGCAAAAGTCCTGCATTCAATTTTCAAATGTACAAGTGCAAAAGTATCAGCCTCAGAATATACTTAAAGTCACTAAAACTGAAAGTACTCATTCTGCAGAATGGCCCATTTCAGTATAATGTTTATACTGGATTATAATTATTAATGCAATAATGTGTTTAATGTTAAAGCTGGTAAAAGTGGACCTAATTGTCATTACTTTATGTACTTTACATGCTAAGTAGTCTGTGAATCTCCCCAAGGATCAATAAAGTTTTGTCTTAATCTATAATTTTACATAATAGTTTATTTGTTTATCATATTTTGTAACATTAATCTGAATCTGCAAAGTAAGTAAAGTTATTGAATAAATCTAGTGGAGTAAAAAGTACAATATTTGCCTCTAAAATGTCGTTTAAGTAGTGGAAGTATAAAGCAGCAGAAAATGGAAGTACTCAAGTAAAGTACAAGTACTTCAAAATGAATTTAGTTACTTTCCAGCACTGCTGTCCATTTATGTGTTGTACATAAAGCAAAAGGTTTTGTGTGGCTGGAGTGAGTGTGGTTGCACATGTATGTTGAATTATGCTTTATGCTGTGTGTGTGTGTGTGTGTGTGTGTGTGTGTGTGTGTGTGTGTGTGTTGCTGGGGAGATGGACTGTGCTCGCAAACATGCACACATACACACACAGGTTAAAAGAAGGGGATGCAGGTCTGGTCATTCAGGGAACTTGTCGCCAGTTCTCTGAACTCAAAGTGTTTCCTGGTATTATCATGACATTAGCCACATAGAGAGCGACACAGTTTCACAGCATTACACGACACACACTGTTTCTACATGAGGACAAAAACACTCAAGCATGACAGCTTTGCAACCTTTTTTTTAAAGGAGACAAACAATAATAGGGTTTCATTTAGACTTAAGCTTTATTTCAAATTTGGCAGGACTAATGCATCAAACCCTTTTCTTCCAACTGAAGCAAAGATACCAGTTTAAATGTAAAAATATACAAACAGGGTCAGTTACTGATTATTGTGAAATACACTCAGACGTTGCTAAACAGAGCCCCTGATGTGAAGAGGAAGCATTAATCGCATCGTGAAACGAATGAGTCTCATTTGTCTTTTTAAGGGCGTTTGAAAAGCCCTTAAAGAGTAAGTCCAGAAAAGAAGTGCTGCTCCCTGACCTTCATTGGTTGAAAGTCACTCAGTATCAGTCCAACTTCACAGATGTGGTCTACATGCTACCTCTGACCCTCTGTCAATCTTTTTACATATGGGTCTATAAATGGGTGAGTGAGTGATCTTTACTTCTTAGACAGTCTTAGAGACCTAAGGAGGAAAAAACATTTAGTATTTAATGAGAAGAAAAGAGGAAAATAAACAATTTTGTAAACAATTACAAAAGTGTAAGAGTTGATCAGTGTACTAAACAACCATCACACAAGGTGACATTTGCTTTCTGCAGCAGATGTTTGTCTCCTCGACACAGAACTGCAGTAAATAATAGCTTTAGCTACAGTGTATGCCGCAAACGCTGCTGCTCTTTCGTGACTGCATACAGGTGCTGAAAGGAACTGAAAGACGGTACAGTGCAATATTGTACTTTTTCAGCCTGACTTCACATTTTTAGTGTAAACTGTTTAAAAGCAAGCATTAAAACTACAAAGGCAATGGCCAAGTATTGGCAACGTAGACCAGAAATGTCCAAGTTCTCAAAAAAGTTGTCTTAAATTTAAAACCACTTAATAAACACAGCAGTGTTGCTATGTTTTTACAATTCATTCTTTAAGATTCAAGGACTTACAGTAGTCACTATAATTTTACATACCCTATTAATTAGGCCTATTGTAAAGTTCCAAAGAGTGTGTGTGACCAAACAAATATGCATCAAAACTCTTCAACAAAAAGCTTTTGAAAGCACAGAGCAAGTAGAAATACAGTCCACCTGTCTGCAGCAGGGCCAGTTCTTCTTTCTTCTGAAACCTGCAACACTTACAACTGGACAAAATGTCTGTGCAAGTACAAGTGTTTAAGCTCGTTGACAAATAATGAACACTTTCTGGACTGTTTTACCACTATCCGTCTGCCAGGCAGTTTCAGGTGGAGAAATACAGAGCGCTACTCAGTTGTTTGCAGTTCTGGCAGTGCGTGATGGTTCAGACAGATGCAGCGCTGTAGAACAGCTTATCAGATGAAGGGAGCTGCACTTCCTCAGATGCTGACCTGCACTACCTCACCACACTCTGCTGAACTTATTTCTAGGTTAACTATACTCTCTCTCTCTCTCTCTCTCTCTCTCTCTCTCTCTCTCTCTCTCTCAGGAAGTCCAGTGAGAGCAGGAACGTGGTCCAGCGGCGGAGGTATACATGTCCCAGTCCTCAGGACATCACCCGCGCCCTGCAGAGCCCCAGCTCTGCTCCCAGCGCCAGTGCTGCCAGCCTGGATGAGCTCATACAGCGCTGCCTGAACTGCTTCGGTCAGTCTCTGTCCCTACGTGTTGGCATGCGTTCCCAAAGTTTGTCATGTGTCTTTACTCTTGATCACAGCCAGGTTATATAAATGAGGGATGAGGGAGAGTGAGGGGGGGTCCAGGGTGAGAGAGACTGACAGGGAGGGAGGGAGGGAGGGAGACAAAGGGCAGTCTCATACAATCAAGCTTTGTTCTGCTGAGCTCCAGTGGCCAACTAGCTATTCCCATGCAATGCTAAACTATACAAATGTCTCTGCTCTCCACCTCTCTTTCATTGATCTCAGTCTCTTCCTTGATCAGTTCATCCAAATCATGTCTATCCAAAAATAATGTTCTGGTTAATCTGGATAATCAAACATTTTGTAGAGAACATTTTTAATCCAAGGTGATAAATTATTATTATTATCATTATTATTATTATTGTTAGTATACTTATTTTCTTAATGTTTGTCTTTACCCTTGTTTTTTTAAAGATAGCTATTCCCCTAAGTTCATACTGTCTTTCTCTAATTTCAAACAGCATCTAAATTAGGGAGCCTATTATTTTTTGTTTTATACATTATCAAAGATGTATCTCATACAATAAGCAAAAGGCAGGAAAAACACCCACAGCAGGTTGTTATTTCATCGCAAGTTTAACATAATCTGACACTTACACATGCAGGAAATTTAAGAATGACCAATCTTCCTGAGCTGCATGTCTCGGAGGTGTGATAGAAAGACAAAGTACTTGGAGAAAAAAAAACAATATGAAAATGTAAAACCCACTTAAAAGAAATAGACTGACTGAAATGACCCAAAATGAACTGAGCTGCCTGACCTCTGAACCACTGTGCAGCCCATAATTTTTTGTTGTTGTTTTTAACCACATTAATCCTGTGCTGCTGTGTATTGGTTGAAGATTCAGAGGGGAAGCTTTCCAGCCCCAGAGGGTCCCAGCTGGTCCACATGACTCTGATGATGCACAGTTGGGTCGTGCCTTCTCAGATGTTCGCCCAGAAACTTCTCACCCTATATCCTCCACTGTCACTCAGTGCAGCATTCTGGTCCCACCGGTGCACTGCTCCCAATCACATGTCCACGTTCATTAATCAGATCAGCAAACAGGCATAGCTTTGTTTTGCACTCATTGTCGGCAAAGCAGATTTGAAGTATATATCCCTGCTGGTGTTTAGTTTAATGTTGTGCCATATCTGCGCAGTGTGTTTAGATCCTTGACTCTGTTTCTCACTTATAAGGATTGTCCCTCAGACAAGAGAGGAGTGAGGCGGACACAGATCTGCCACCTTATCAGGTGAGTAGGGGCACCAGGAACATGAGCATGCTGTAGGACAAACTGCGACAGAACTGGTTATCCTGCTCTATTTCCGGGTTGTAAGCATATTTTCTGTCCTGCTTCATGGCAAGGCAGTGGATCAGCCAGTTCCCAGCGGTATTCGAGGCAGACCCCCTCCTGGAGCAGACAATGGGGGACCTGTGGGAGCTGGTCCGGTCAGACGGAGAGGAGACGCACTCGCAGCTCATCGACACTTCCTGCTTGTGAGCCATGTTGTGATTTGGCTACAACTCAAACAAGTTTTCCTATAAATGGAAAATTGAGTTTTTATATAAATAGAAAAAATGTCCTTTTTTTGATCTGTTGCCTGGCTTTCTTTTCTTAGAAGCCCTCATGTGAACATATTCCAGGCACCCTCACCCTCTGTGAAGAAGAGGAAGGTGTCTTTGATCTTCGACCACATGGAGCCAGATGAGATGGCTGAGCACCTCAGCTACCTGGAGTTTAAGAACTTCTGTAACGTTTCAGTAAGTTCAGTGAACAACTTCTCACTAGTTGCTGTTCTCACTCTGCTTAATGAGGACTCAACATGTTGCCATGGCTTGTAGAAATGTTGCTCAAACACTGACAATAGGTCAAAGTGCATACAATGAAGATTTAATAATGCTTAACTGACCAAATACCAATAAAATGCCAAATGTCATAAATATATATCATATAATTGCTCCCGTGCTGTAGACAGTTTAATGGCAACATCTTCCATGGATGTCCTTTGAAAATATCTTTGGCATCAGTAATAAAACTTTTGTTGGAACAACTTTTGAGTTGCACGATTGTGGGAAATCCCTTTGGGTGATGAGTAATATCTACAGCAGTATAAGTAGTTAACTTGTGTTGATAAACTGAAGCATTTCATCTGCAAGATCCAATGGACAGAGCTGCAGAGCACCTACATTTTATCAAGGCTTACTTAGTTACACATAATTAAGAGCTTCCTACCCAAATATGGTCACTACTGGTTCCAAAAAACCAAGATGGCAGAATGCCAAATGCAAGGCTTCAAAACAAGAGTTCACAAACCAATGGGTCTATGGTCCTCTTCCACGCATGGATGTATAAAGAGAACTGGATACAGTGCTGGAGACGAGTCCCTGTTAATCCCTGTGAAAGTTGCTCAGTAGTGCATGAAGCCAGAAAAGCTCAATTTCCATGGTATAAATTACGCTGATCTTCTGCATTGCGGGGCCCATAGAGCAAGAGCATTAGAGACTTCTGCTAGCTAAGCAACTAACTTCAGATTTAGTGCTCCGCTAACTTGAATGGGGATAAAAATAATTTAATCATGCGGCTCCTCTAAACTTTCAAAATGTTATCGGACCAAATGAATCAAATCCCGATAGTGAAACAAGTAATTTCGTGGGGGTTGTGACTGATTTACAGTCATGTCTTTCACAATGTAAGCCTATGAGGAAAAGTCTTTTTGGACACCGTGGCGTCATGTGATGGACCCGGAAGTTGTAATTCCATTTTTGGCCACTATGTAAAATTGGCTTCAAAGCAAGGCGCTGTTTCAGGGGGCTTGCATCCACAGAGTGCCCCATGTTACTCTACCAGAGCCCAGAATAGACAAACCTAAAACTGACTCTACATAGGTCCATTTGCGTCCGCCATCTTAGTTCCTGCACATCTCAGACTCAGACTCTTTTTTTTCTTTCAGTAGAGAAGCAAAATATGATCAGCTCTTGCAATCATCTGGTGACAGATTTCCACCCTGCTTGTACACCTGAGTGAAAACAGTGCTTAAGTTGTTACCTGCCTGACCACTGCAATCTTATTGGCCAGTTCCTGGACTACCGCAGCTACGTGGTGCGAGGCTCAGTGAGGGACAACCCTGCTCTGGAGAGGTCGGTCATGATGTGTAACGGAGTCTCCCAGTGGGTCCAGCTGATGATCCTCAGCAGACACACGGCCCAGCAGAGAGCCCAGGTCTTCACTAAGTTCATTCATGTGGCTCAGGTAATCTAACTGAGGGATCAAACATCACAAAAACTAAGCTAAGCAGCTCAGAGGGATTTTTGTTTGGCTGCCAATATCTGGACTTGTTTGTTTTTCGTGGAAAGGAATTTATGTGCTGTCACTCTGCTCTTTCCTCTACAGAAACTTCGAGCTTTGCAAAACTTTAACACTCTAATGGCAGTGACTGGAGGCCTCTGTCACAGCTCAATCTCCCGCCTCAAAGACACCTCTAACCTGCTGCCTCCTGACATCACTAAGGTATTTCAGATATTACACATATCCATGAGTCAGTCGGGTAATGACTACCTCACTACAAAGATACAGAGATGAAGCTTTTCTTTCTTGAGTCATTGTCCTTCTTGGACTTTTTTTGGGCTTCGGTGTCTCTGTGTCATAGTCATTTTTTTAACCAAGAAAATTATTTTGTCACCTCTACCTTCTCTGACTGTGAAGATATATCTATATATATTTTAGCCTTACTGTTAAACTAGTACAGCATGTGTGCAAGTCTCAGAAATCAATTTAACTTGTAACATAAGGGAGAGGAATAATAATAACAGTGTAGGTGACATTTAAACACTCCTTTTGGAGGACAGTACTTATAACTCTCCTCTTCATGTTTCTAAGTCTTGTCCCACTGAAAAATCTGATGGGTTGATCTTGCTTTAAAGAAATCTAGGAACTCAAAGTAAATATAACTATTAGTCTTAGTTTTGTTTACTTTATATCTAAATGTTAAGTTAAAATTTGTTGTATTTACTTAACTTTTTGAAGTTGTTGCAATTTAAAAATTACGTTAACTTGTTCTCTCTTAGTGTTAGCAACTTAAGTAAACCAAGTTAGTCTGACTTAACTGAAGAGTTGTATTAACTCAATAGAGTTAGGAAACTGGTTGCCTTAGACAAATAAACTCAGCAAAGAATGATTATTTCACAGGTTATTTTTCATTTTAACAAAATGCCATTCTGAACATCTTAAGACGAGGCCAGTGGAAACAACTGTACTCCACAATCCGGACAATCTACTTTGATATATGGTTGGTTTGCAACGTTCCATCATACTATAGATATCATGCATATGCTTTGAAGTAAAATAAACAAGACTACATTGTAGGTGTTAACATGGTGATATCTATATCTCTATTCTGCTGATTGCAAACTAGTCAGTCACGTTTGTATATTCTTAAATATGTTACCAAACCTGAACACAAAATACATATTTTACAGGCATATTTATCTCAGGCAATCAGTTTACTAACTTCTACTGAGTAAACACAACTGTTCAGTTAAGTCAGACGAACTTAGTGTACTTGAGTTGCTAACACTGAGAAACAAGAAGGTAGTCACTTGTCATTCTTAACTTGCAACAACTTCTCAAAATGAAGGAATTAAAACTCAGTTTTAACTAAACTTAACAATTAGACATATTTTAAACATAATTCAAGACCAACAGTTTTATTTACTTACCTTTTTTAAGGCAATCTGGTTCCTAGATTGTTTGTTTTTTGTTGTTGTTTTTTAAGTAAGATCAACTTGTCAGATTTTACAGTGTACATTGTTACAAAAAATGACACCACTGATTCCATTAAATGCATAATTTAATTCAGTTTAATGCAAAGCAACAACTATGTTTTCAAACTCGTTGGCTATGTGAACATTGCTCACATGATCCAAATTTACTGTTTATGGGCTCAAACAATAAAGTAGGGTCGCCTGAAAATGTTGGAACATTTTTGTTTTTTATGTATTGACATCAAATTTTGGACCAAATGTTCTTATTAGTTTACTTAAATTTTTGTTTTTATTTTTATTGCTACACTTGAGTCTTAATAACTAACTACAGAGACACATGACAGTCTCATTTATCATAACTCTCTTGATCTTTATCTTCTCTCAGGCCCTGAGTGAGATGACAGAGCTGCTCTCCTCGCGGAGCAACTACATCAACTACCGGCGGGTTTATAACGAGTGCAGTGGCTTCAAGGTGCCCATCCTTGGGGTCCACCTGAAGGATCTGATCTCACTGAATGAGGCCCTGCCGGACTACATCGACGATGACAAGATCAACCTGAGCAAGCTGCAGCACCTGTACAGCAACATCAATGACCTGCTGGCCATTCACACCTGCACGCCGCCCTTTGAGGCCAACAAGGACCTTCTGCATCTGCTCACGGTACGAGACAGAAACCAGGAGATGATTTCTGACAATTCAGATGAAAAGATTCCACAAGGAACATCTTAAATTATGATCTTTTAATGCTTCAGCTCTCCTTAGATTTATACTACACTGAGGATGAGATATATGAACTTTCATACACCAAGGAACCGAAGAACACCAAGATCCAGGTCAGTAGAGCTACATACTTTCTTTGAAGTTGAGCTCTATCTAACTCCATCAGACTCACACTTGTTTCAGCCTCTTTTCACAAGAGGAGGGACATTTGTGTGCTCTCTGTGGGTGTAACATCTTCTTCAAAACAAAAGCACAGACTCGGTGCTGAAATACATCAAACTCAGCCACATCAAAGCGCTGTACGTTAGGGAAGCATGTTATGTGGTGGGTGTGCTCTCTTTTGTCTTGTTTCTCACATGTGCAGTCCTTCGTGTCTCATCACTGCATCTATCGGTCCACAGCCTGTAGCTCCAGTTAAACCGCCTGCAGTGGCAGAGTGGGGTTCAGGGGTCACCCCCAGGCTCGACCCTGACACCATATCTAAACACGTCAAACAGATGGTGGATGTGAGTATGTGACACTGCAACAACCTTCTGTCTTTCACTTCCTTATTACTCGGCAGGCTAAAGCAGAACTAACCAACTGCTCCCTGTCAAGTGTAACTGAACGTCTGATTGCTCTGTTGCCCCCTGCAGTCCATAATGAAAAATTACGACCAGAACCAGGATGGTTACATTTCACTGGAGGACTTTGAGAAAATAGCAGCCAACTTCCCCTTCTCCTTCTGCACTCATGAAACTGACAGGTGAGGAAGCTGCAACACGCACAAAGGCCTCTCACCATGACGTGGCTGCAAAGACAAAGAAATAACAAGGTGTTGAATGGTTTATGAAAACCTCAACTCAGTTACTCACTTTGGTTGTTGCACTTTGGAAAATTTTCTGCCCAGGGAGGGACAAATCAGCCGTGAGGAAATCACCTCTTACTTCATGAGGGGAATGTCTATATGTGCCAAGCTGGGCTTCAACTTCAATGCACATAACTTCCATGAAACCACGTATAAACGGCCAACGTTTTGTGAGACTTGTGGAGGCTTTGTAAGTATCCACTGCATCCATGTTTGTTTTTAATACAAATGGCCAATCAAACTACAATGTCACATGTGTTTTGTCTGTCCTCCTGTAGCTGTGGGGAGTCATCAAACAGGGCTACCATTGTAAAGGTAAGATCGCAATCCACATCATTTCGCCCTTCATCAAAGTGTAACCAGGTTTTGAGATATCTGTGTTTGAAATTTCTGCAGCCACTTGCAATCCAACCAGAAAAATGTTGGCATTGTATGTTTCTGTAAACCAACGATATGTTACATTTGCATGTACTTATGTAGTGGATATGCTGAAACTTTAGGTTTTAACATAACACTGTGGTTAACGTGTGATTATGTTTAGGTACAAAGACCACTTGGGTATGAGTAAGAAAACATCATGTTTTGGCTTAAAATATGTGGTTTTTGGGGTCACAATCCCAGCAGGAAATGCAGACAGGTCTCAGTAAAAAACATTTGTTTTTTTTGCCGCTATCCCAGCAGGAAAAGCAACGATGTTTCAGTAAAAGAACAACCGATATTCATGCCACAAGTCCAGCAAGAAAAGCAGCAATGGTTCAGTAAAAACCAACCAATTTCCATGCCACTATCTCAGCAGAACAAGCAGTGTTGAAGATTTTTGTGTCACTATCTCATGAGGACAGGCAGCAACATCTTATCAAAAAACAAATTCCAGCAGGAAACGCAGCAATTATCTTGGTAAAAAACAACCAATTTTTTTTTGCCACAATCCTGCAGGAAGAGCAGTGATGTCTCAGTACAACAACCGCTCTTCATGTCACTATCTCACAGGAAATGCAATGGGGTCTCGTGCCACTTTCCCTGCTGAAAAAACAGCAACTGGTCGCTACAAAACACCCATGTTTGGTGTTGTTTGTTGGTTTCGAACAGTGGTCCACTTGATAGGCGTTTCATCCAGGTGACGAGCCATCCACTGTTCTCTTCACCTCCTGATGACACAGTCAGCTCATTTATTATGTCACTTTGGAAATGTTGATATAATTAATATGACACATGCAAATGTAACATACTTGTAGTTTGCAGAAACGCACAACGCCAACATTTTCCTCTGGCGACTGGACTGTCTCTTGTAATGTAAAAGTAGCTCAAAGCATTTAATCAACAGACCTTTAGTAATTTGAGTGAGCTGATGTTTAAGTAGTAGTGCTTCTTTAAAGTCTTAGAATGTTTTTCTGTCTCTCAGACTGTGGGATAAACTGTCACAGACACTGTAGAGATCTGGTGGGGATGGAGTGCTTGAAGAAACACAAAAACACAACTGGGTCCTGTCCGTGCACTCCGGCACCTGACTCAAAAACCAAGGGCAACAGTTGGAGTACGTCCTTGCTCCATCACAATGCCACAACAATATTCCCTGTCTATAAAATGACCTCGAACCCAGTTCACTGATGTCTTATTGCTCCCTCTCAGGTTCAGAGGAGGAGACCTTTGTTTTCCCGCAAGGTGAAGAGACAGAAAATAACCAGGGCACCCCTCCTTGGAAAAATAACAGCGGTGATTCAACGCTGTCGGACCGCTCCACTCAGACAGATCCTGGAGTGTGGACGCCTGAGAAAAAGGACAAGAGGGGAAACCACCACAACTTACTCGTGCACGCATCTCCAGACAGAAGGGTAAGACAGGACGAGTCCCTGCAAGACGATTATATAGTAGGACAGAGTTTCTCAACCTGTTCTGTTTTTTGCTCTTATGGGACAATCGATTAAAGCCTGTATGTGTAGAATTTCTGTGTGATTATTGCATCTCTTATTCTGATAGTTCGTTCTGAAGTTGTGATAACATTTCTTAGAAAATGTAAAATTCTACACACTGTGGCTATGTTGTTTTGCAGCTCTTTACTTTTTTAAAGCTCCTACACAGGTGTCGTCACTTGACCCCGACTTGAAATGACCTCCTTTTCAAAAAGCAAATCTGTCTCATTTACAATAGAGAACTGAGAAAAGTCACCTCTGTTAACTCAGATAAGGTACAGAGCCCACAGTTCTGGTTTTACAGAGCTTTAAAGTACAAAGGAGGTGAAGGGAATTCTGATTTTGCTTATAAAAGAACTCAAGACTTAGATTTGACGAATTCAAAAATTGAAAAGCAACATCTCTCTTTAGAAACACCTTTTACTCAGGATAACCCACAGAGCTGTCAGCTGTTTTTAAATGACTGTTTTCTTTTAAAGGGACATTATACCCCAAAATCAAAAATACATATTTTTCCTCTTACTTGTAATGCTCTATATCGAGTTAGAGCTTGTAGTGCTCAAAATGCCAAAAAAAAAAAAAAACATTCGAAAAACTCAACAGCAATGTCTCTTTCCAGAAATCATGCCACGGTTACTCAAGATAATCCACAGACCTTGTTCTGAGCAGTTTCATGTAGGAACTATTTTCTTTCCGCCAACCAAATCACTGCACAGAAGGAAGTGTGCATCTACTCAGGGATGAGAGGCTCGTGCTCGTGACAGCGCAACATGTAAACATTTGCCTCCTCTTCAGCTGAGCTGTAATGTTAGCTAGTTCAGTGGTGCTAGGTGAGCTAGCAGTAGATGTATGCTTACTTCTGTACGGTGATACGGTTGGCAGGTGTGGTTCGGTAGTAAGAAAATAGTTCCTATAACAAACTGCTCACAGCAAAGTCTGTGGATTATTTTACATAACCACGTCATGATTTCTGGAAAGAGATGTTGCTGTTGAGTTTTTCTAATGTTTTTTTTTTGTGTGTGTGTCTGTGCTTTGAGCACCACAAGCTGAGTGCCATCTAGTTCCATTATATGGGAGAGAAGGCAGACACCTCTACGGCTGATATCTCCAACACTTGGCAACTCACACTAAAACAGTCTAGACTGATAAATAGCACTACAGTAAAAGAAAAAAATGTATTTTTGATTTTGGGGTGGAGGCGGCACGGTGTGTGGTGGTTAGCACCGTCGCCCCACAGCAAGGGGGCTCCAGGCTCGATCCTGGGCGTGGGAGCCCCCCACAGACCCTGGGGTGATCTGTCCCTGTACATACCCTCTCTGCAGATAAAAAAAAACTTTGCATGACTCTTTACCATTAGTGTGAAGTCAGACTTTATATAAGTTTTCCCATTAGAAATGAAAAGGTTTTTTAACAATAAAATATTGTTTCTGAAATAGAGAACTTCAGAATTTTGTTGATGTTAAACTTGTCATGTCTGTTTTCCAGGTCAACACACTGCCACAGAGAGCCCGAGGCTGCTCCATGCCTGTTTCCTTCTTGCAGGAGAAGATGGAGGAGCTGCATCTCTACAAAGACAAGAGCAGAGAGCCGGACTGAGCGCTCCATCTTCTGACATTTCCCCCTCAAGGACAAAAAACATCCAGACACCACCAAGTCTCTGACAAAGCTGTGTCTGACTGGTGTTGAACTGATGAGATTTTACTGGCCATTCACATCAGAATGCCAGGAATTATATGTATGGACTCCATCCTGTTTTAAGTGTGGTTATGAAACGCTTTTATTATTTTATTTTTGTCAGTCTTGTTAGTTTGGCAAAGTGTTTAGGCTTCAAACATCAATTGTCCTTCTGTAATTTATGAACACCTCATTTTGTTTCTAGAATAGGTGCCTTGGTTCTCTGGTGCTAAGATTCAACTCCAATCCATACGATCATTTATGGCAACAGACATAAGATTTTCCTGATCATATTTACATATAACAAAATGCAGGGTGGGAAATTAACACTAACCTTGTGGTGGCGAAAAGGCTGAGAAATTCTTGACCCTTAAGATCATGGTAGAAGCAACAACAATTCTGGTCAATTTCAACTTTGGCAGCTATATGAAAACTCTGCTCATGAATCTGGACAGTAAGGTGGCAAAACATTTTTTAGACTACTATTAGTTTGGCTTTGGGTGATGTGAAGATATATGCATGAGACAATTTATCAACCAGTAGATATTCTTATACCATTCATGAGGTATCTATGCCTTTAAAGGGATAGTTCAGATCTTTTGACATGGGGTTGTATGAGGCACTTATACATAGTCAGTGTATTACATACAGTAGATGTCAGTCAGCAAACTCTGTTTGGAGAAGCAGGCTGGAGTCGGACACAGAAGCTAAGCAATGTACTGCTGTGGAGAGGTCAGCAACAAAACATAATTGTAGCCACCTAAAGAAGTCAGTAAGTTTGGGTATATGCTATATTGAAAATATTTCCATTGCTTTACCTTGCTGCCAGACAGTGTTTCTGACTGTGAACTGATGCTATTGTATTAATCTCTGCAAACAACAGACACCGCTGAACACAGGCGCTGCTGAACTACAGCAGCTTCGCTCAATTTATTTGTTTGTATTATTGTGTGACTTTGCTGTATAATAGGGTTCATTCAAATTCACTTAGGTCAAACAATAAAACTAACTGATTGAGGCAGCGATAGACCAGCAACTCTGTTCAGCAAGCCAAAATGACTGTTTTTGACAAGAGCATGGATGGTAAATGAAACCATGTCAGCTTCCCCGTCAGAACAGGCTGTCTGGTGGCGAGGTTAAGTGCCGAAATACTCCAAATATTGTGTACACTTTAACTGTTTTTTTCAGGTGGGACTTTTTATGGCCAAAATACATTTTGTTGTTTCCCCCATCTACAGCAGTATATTGTTTCACTTCAGTGTTGGTATTTCATCTCCATCTACTGTAGGTAATACAGTGACTAGAGACAAGTACCTCACACAGCTCCATTTAAAAAAATCCAAACTATCCCTTTAATATCTCTAGTTATATTAGGCAACCATTTTGCAAATCACTGAAGCCTTCCTAATGGCAATATTGTGATAGTGAAAAGAGGTGGTTAAGTCTGATCCATAAACAAATGCAACAAGCAGTGGAGAATGTTTATTTCCTGCCCTGACTTTCAAATTTCTCCAACAGTTCATTCAAGGTTCAACAGGACTGCACTGGAATTATACGTATGCTACAAAATTGGCGTTTTTTTTAGCTAAATGCTTCCTTGTTTTGTCCACAATGTCAATCTTGTTGAAAATAAGAAAGATACAAACCACTTAGTATGTGTTGTGTCTGACTTTACTTACTGGCAGCAAACAAAAGATATTAACATCTCCAGGCGTATACAATTGCATTTATTGTATAAAGACAAGACAGCTCGGGATAACTGGTCAGATTTTCATTTTCAGGTAGAAAAAAAATGAGTTTGACATCTGGATTTATCTACTGGACTCAATGAACAGCAATCACAACGGGATAAAAAAAAAACTGCACATACATCTACTCAAAAGTGGCAAAATATTCTTCTCAATCAAAGACTGGATTAACGCTTAAATACTACAGTATCAACACCTATTAAAAAAATGTTCCTTAATGTTTGAATTCTATTGGAGTAAATAAAATGTGCTCACTCAAAAACTGAAAAATAAAGAGCAAGACAGAGGAAAGGGTTGTGAATGTAAAAAGCATGCATTTTGTTCTTTGTTAAGCTTCTCAAAACAAGCAAAAGTATTGAGGCCTTGCAGTATTTTTCCTGCCTTGTCATGTTTTTGCACTATGCATCCTATAAAATATACAATAACCTCTTCAATCTGTAGGAAATGTGGAGTTTGCAGATCAACATACATCCACATTAAATGCATAATAGATAACATTCATTAAATGTTTTGATATCTATCATCTACCACCTCACGGTCACTGCTTAGAGTAAGACTTCATTCAGTAAAAAAAAAACTGAAAGGACAACAAACTGTATACAGTTTATGTGTACATGATGAGGGATGAAGACTACGGTGTTAACCCAGACAGAGACAGTTATGGTTGGGACTTAATGTGAGACTGTACAAAAATCGATTTGCCTTCGAGGTCAGAGTGTTTAGGACACAGGTGGATGCAGGTGCAGATACAAAGCGAAGCTACTGGGAACCAGAAGATGAGCCTTGGCTGCCCTGTCCAGGGTAGCTGCCATACTGGCTGTAATACTGGTTCCACTGGTTCTGGTTCTGGTAGTACTGCTGCCACTGCTGCGCATACTGGAGGGAGAAATAGAAAGCAAGCAGTGAGAACATGTTTACATTTTTTTTTTAAAACTTCCCCCAAACTGACCCTGTATTTATACTTTTGCACCTCCTTATGGCACAGTGGATCATTTTCAGAAGATGGAATACTTCACCCCAAGGCCATCTCATGAGCGTCACACAATTAACACCTCCTGCACAATTTAAAGTGGCTTTTCTCCTTTGTGCAGGACAGTGGCTGTGGTGATTCACATTTATATCTGTACATTTGTCTTGCAATATCAATTGACCTCTACTTGTAACCTAGCACAGGTCCACTCCCACTGACAGCTTCCTAACTCCCCCACCCTCTTACGCTTGATTTTCAAATGTGTATAAGAGGCAGTGTTTGAAAAGGCGATGACTACCTGCTGATATTGCTGGTTGTAGCTCTGTTGCTGCTGCTGCTGCTGCTGTTGTGGCTGCTGCGGCTGTTGCTGGTGGTGGTTGTACGTCTGTGCAGTGGCAGGTGCCTGGCTGTAGCTCTGGCTGTAGCCTGGGTACTGACTGTAGTTGCCATAGTAATTCTGGCTGTAGCTGCCCTGGTTGTACCCTTGACTGTAGCTCGGGCTGTAGCTCTGGGAGGTGAACCAAGACATGAAGGAGAACACATTAATTTTTTGTATTTATTTTAGTGTTTTCCTCAAACTTCATACATAAAGGTCATGTTATTTACCTGGTTGTATGCTCCCTTGCTGTAAGGAGCCGGGCGGTTGTAGCTTCCACCTGACTGCTGGCTGCGGTTATATCCACTGCGTGCATCAGAGCCTCCATCACGGTAGCTGTTGCCCCAACGGTTCTGGCTATAGCTGCCACGATTGTAGCCTGCCAAGAAAACAAAAAGTTATAGCAATATACACCACTTTACTGCAAACGACATACTAGCCTTAGTTTTGCCTGTTATGTATTATTATGTTTAAATCACAGAATATAGCAAGCGATCATACTATAGCTTTAAAAAAAAATCTAGATGAATACAACGTATAAGGTATGCCGACAGCTCCGCTCACCTCCTCTGTATCCACTGCCTCCGTCTCCACTGCGGTTCTGGTAGCCACCGCGGGACCCATCACGGTTGTCATACCGCTGGAAGCTACCTCCACCGCGGCCACGGAACCCACCCTGCCTGTTGTCAAAGCGTTTCTCGGGGGGTGGGCCAGCCTTGCGGCCCTCCTCATTGTATTGCTTCAGCAGGCTTTCAGCCTCGTCGCGCTGCAGCTCAATGAACGTCACTGCCTCCAAGAAGTCGCAAGCCTCAGGGAGAGTAAAGTTGGCTTGGAGAGTGACAGAGGTGACCACAGGATGAGGAGAGAGACAGCCCATCCAGCAAAAGATGGATGGACAGGCAGAGAGAGAAAGAGAGGGGGGCAGGGGGTTGTAGTGAAGACCAGAGCAGTCACACCACCGGAAGACAAAATGAAAAATAATTATGACCATACAGAGGCAGTGGAAATCATAGAGAAAATAAGAGCAGATAGATGAAAGCAGATGGCAGGGTAGAGGGAACAAACATCACCTCCAGGGGGAACATGGAGGAAACATTTGTTTAAGCAGACAAAGTAGAGGGAGTTCAGTAGAGGTGGGGAGGGGGACAAAAAGGACCACTAGAAGGTTGGTGAGAAGAGGAAACAGCACTGCAAACCAAGCACAGCTGATGTAACGCGGTTACAAATTAACTTCCAACAATTTCAGCATGTGACTGCTTGTAAGTTTGCTATTTGGAAATGTTCTTTTCAGGGAAGCAAATTGTGCAATATTAACTTCACTATGACTTGACCTCAACAAGGCCCATGTCTCAGTTTGCAGTGCATTAGAAGTAAGCTGTATGGCAAGTGGCAGAAAGAGGGCAAAAATAAGGAAGAATCAAATTCACTGTGACTGTTTAAAAAAAAAAATGTCCAGGTCTGATATCTGGCCAAAGGCTATGATGGGGGAAGGGGGGGAGGGGGCATCTTCCAAGTTTGATTTTAGAGACAACACATAGAAAAGTAAAAAGTAGATCTGGTGTTTTATTTGTTGTTTCCACAGCATTCCTACCTTTCATTTCTAAAACAGCATGATCGGGCACATCCTTCCCCTGCTCATTGGTTTGCTTTAATGTTCGTTCTTTTAAATCCTCGTCCGTGGGACAAATTACAATAGCCTTGCGTTGAAAACCTTCAAAAGGACGCATTTTTCGTCTCCTTGCTGATCCATATACATTTGTCTAGCAATGGTGACAAGAAAGAAGTAGAAGCTTGTTTGTTATTGTTTACTTGTAATGGCTTTCCACTGGAAGGAAGCTGGAACCCTGTAATAATGAAGTGAGAGAGGTTTGGCTTGGATGTCAGTCTACGGTTTTACTCAAGTCCTAATGGCCTCTCCTCACTCCACAGACTTACCTCACAGTCTCTGCATCCAGGTGCCCCGTGGCTGCTGAGGAATGTTAATTACTGACACAAAGAAGGACCCCACAATTATTCACCTTAAAGTTTCATCTAATAAAAAGATATTCAAATTGATATTTAAGTAGTTATTGTGCTTAGCGATGTCTTCATGCACTGACAATGTGCTGCTGTAAATATGTTTTTAAGTGTTAATACTGAATTCCATTCCATTGCAAGCAATTGCTAATGCAGGATGTGTGAGCAATTTGTCGACCATCTAAATCTGTATCGATTATCTATGTCACATGATACAGTGTGTGTTGCCCCTGCCACATATTCCAAGTGTGCCCTGTCGCACTGTCACTAAAACGTGATCAATATTGATTCGGCTTATTCATTCAAACTCAGAATACTAGTTCAAATTCTTTGCATATTATTAGATAAAGAAAAAAGCACATGTTGACAGCAATCAACACCAAAGGCAAATGTAGACTGCCATAAACCGTTATTTGTGATACATTAGAATAATGGGTGATTTGCATGCGTTACATGATGGAAGCTATAAATATTCTATATCTTGCCATGTAATATTCGCGTTAGTAACTCCAATATTAGCAAATTGTGAGGGCACTGTGGCAACTGGGAATATTAAAAAAAGTAGCATAAAAATGATTTGTGATTATATTTGTTCCATCACTACTGTCATTTATCAGCCTTATACATCAGTGATGTAAAGTTTGCTACAAGAACATTTGGCTTCATACACCAATATCTTTAAGTTTAAATTTGTATTTAAGAAGGCCCTAAGAAGTCTGTCAGATTCACGACGTGTTCTTGAACAGCAAGATTGTTCGCATCTGTGTTCTTATAAGGATGAATCCCATGGTCCTTGAAAGTTGAAAGCGCATGCCAGCTGAATTTAATCAGCATACGTAGCACCCTGCCACTCCCATATAAGGGCATTAGACTGCAGGGCCGTGTGCACATCCAGAAACTGCAGAAGAGACTGAGAGATTTTAAGTCAAGAATACCCAAACGAAAGTTTGAAGAGGGAGGAGCACTGGGGGAAAATGGTTTGAAGTGAAGGTGCTTCTGCAGAGAGTGAACATCAAATGAGCCATTTTATTTAGCAGCATCAGGAGTGGATATAAAATACACAAAAGGATGCACGGGATCCTAAAGAAACGTTAATCAACCACCTGACCCACAAACTGCAAACCCCAGGCATTACAGTAGCAATAATTTCTGGAAGGATCAATTATACATTAATAGATGGCATGGTTCCATTATCATAACTGGTGTGAACTTAAGTGTTAGAGTAGTGCTTGTTTTAAAAGACCATGATATTTAAAAAAAATAATAATGCAAATAACTTTATAAATTCTACAATATATTATTGTAATATAAATCCTATTATATTACACAACTGCCGAAGTGGAGAAAACGTAATAGCCAACTATTGTGCACAAATATGTCAGCACAAAATGTTCTTACAAAATGCTCTTGAGTGTGATTCTGTTCTTATCTAAGAACAAATCCCAAATAAGAAACACTGGTGAATGTCAGAATTTTTGCGAAAGCTGCATAAGTGAGCACAAAGTACCTGCTGCAAACGTCACTGTTCACTGAACGGTAACCAGATGTTTCTACATCAACCAACAGATAATCAACACTACAACATTGATCATTTTAGTATTTCAGTAAAAGCTGTTCTGTAGTCATGTCATGACTAATGTTTTTATCATTACAACACTGTGATTATTATTTTTTAACATTACAAGTACCACATACTCCTATGACTTTCTCTCATTCACCATCATTTCATTAACATCCACATCAACCACATTCCTCTGACTATTCCTACTTTATACAGACAATTCTTTCTGAGCTTCCCAAAGTAAATCTGTGAAACACTACAGATCTCATACTTATTAACAAGAGCATGCTACATCAAAAACAACTTGCTATTCTGAGGGGTCCCCCACACTTACCTCGACTTACCTGGTCTTCGTACGGACTCTAGTCCCAGTCAAGACAACAACAGACAGATATAACCTACCTGCGTATACTCACAGTGTCCATGGAAAAGCCAGTTGCCACCAGACCTACCTACCTTTTTATCACATTTGCTGAACCAAGGACCTGAAAATCTAAAGTCTGTTAGTCATTACTTACCTTCAGGGTCAATTTATAAAAAAAACACACTCAAAAGTTCCATGTATCTCACTTAAAAATAGCTTTTAAAAAAGCTATCAACTCTGTCTTATTAAATTAGCAACAGAAGGTGTTTTTCTTACTCACCAGTCAGAGCTTACTTGTTTCTCAACATCTTTACATAGTCATGGTTTACTTGTACATTGTTGAAATTCACAAGACAAACAATACTGTATTATGACAAGAAATAGCAAATGCAAATATACTGAAGGATGAAAACATGAAATATTCTGTCACTTATGAGAGCCATTAATCATTTTCTTTTACAATACATGACAAGCAAGTGACAAGAGGGTGATCAATGCTTCTTCTACTCTATAATACACAGAGCCTCCCTGAAAGATAAATAAATAGTCCATTAGAGAGAGTGATCATCAGGGCACATTGACTGACTGTGGCGAGTATCAGAGCATAGTGTGGGTGAGAGGGCAGTACCTGATCTAGGATGTAGTTGCGTCTCTTGCGGGCAGCAATCTCAATCAGCCTGTTCAGACACTGGGTGGCCTGCTGAATCAAAACATCCCAGCGTCCGGAGTAGTTTCTTTGGCGACGCAGACCCATCACCTGCAGAACACAGAGTCAAATAAGACAACAATGTACTGAAAAACCATGCGAATGTTTGTTTAGTTCAGGGGGTGGTGCCCCAAACCTACCTTCATCTTGTCCATGATGGCATTTGTGCCCAGGATGTTGTACTTCTTCTCAGGGTTAGTCTCCGCATGCTTTATGGCCCAGGTAGTCTTTCCACAGGCAGGCAGGCCAACCATCATCAAGATCTGAAAAAAGTTAAAAAAAAAACAAAACAAAAAAAAAACAAAAACGGTGAAGTTTTACTTTTTAAGTCCAGTTTTATTAGGCCTGGGATGACATGCTTATCTCCAAGTCAATACAGTCAAGAAACTTGGGTGCCAATTCAATATGTATTGCAATTTTTAAGTACTGTGATTCTACAAGCATTGCAATTCAATATTACAATTAATAATGATTCTTGTTCACTTTTTTAACACTAGACCATGGGAAAAGTACCGTCTAGAGACTGTATGAGACATATTTAGAAGAACAATGCACATTTCATGTCAGTTAGCAGCATCATGTACTGCACAGGAAAGTGGTAAATACACAATTAAATGTTTTTATGGTCGTATTTTTAACAATTTTATTCCAGTTAAACACTTTATGACCTTACTCTATGAGAGGTGCTATAGTAAATAAACTAGTGAATAAACTTACTTACTAAAATGTACATGTAGAATGGATTAAATAAAAAATATATTGTGGTCGAAGTAAATTTAAACTACTATATTCAGCTATCCCTCTTCATCAAGCTACTTCAGTGTTTCCCACACACTGAGTGATTTGTTGGGGCTGTCACAATATCAACACTGACTAAGTTATGATCTAAATTTTTTTTTTTTTTTTTTTTTTTACTATTTAAAAACAGGTAATTATTCCATTGTAGAGCTGTGCGCAGTGCACTGATTCGCTCAGCCCCTCATCCTGCTCTTGCTCTTTCTCTGTTTATCCGACCACAAATGAGACAAGAATTAGCTAGCTAGTCACCCCAGGGTCCCTCTGCCTCTCCCTGCTGCTAGGTGAGCAGGCAGAAGCTCCAGACATGGCGCTTACAGTAGCAGCTGTAGCAACTCAACTTCAGCCACAGCAAACCCCAGCACTGGGATTAACAGCGGTTTGGGTCTAATCTGTCTAATGGCAGCAACAGAAAGTTTGCTGATCCAGCAGGAAGTTTACGCTGGAAAGTTCCATGTCCTCGGCATCCGCCACTTTTTGTTTTCTCACTTTGACTTTGTTTTTCTTGAAACTGACATGACGTCATGTAAGCCCTAGACTGCAACAATAAAACTGAAGTCTTATTCCACCTCTGTGTTTAAATTATGTCAATTCAGGCATTAAAAAATAGATTAAAAAAAGAAAATCAATTTTTGTCTCCACCTCTAGTTTCTATTAAATTCCACTTACAGCCAACAGGATGTATCATATAAATGTGGAAAAAAAGGAATGAAAAACTAAAAAAGTTTTAAAGAGTGATAAATGCATTTTATATGAACTGTACATCATTATTGGGCTGAATGTGTTACAATTACAATTTAACTTTTTGTGAGGAAAAAAACATACTGTTCTGTAATTTCAGCACTTTCTTACCTCGCATTCAGATTTGCTGGCAGGTCCCTTAGTGCCTCTGATCTTGTTTTCCATGCCAAGATCATGGATGTAGGTGTATCCCTCTGGTGGGGGGAAGTACGGCTGTCGCTTCTGTCCAAAGTTGAATTCAACAGCACAATTCTTCACAAGGACATGAGGGAACAGGGCACGGCCTGCCAGTGCCTCCTTGGTTGTACGGAAAGCCACGCCCAAGGATACTCCATTCTTGGAATAGCCTATCTCCACCTCGTCACCACTGTCAAAGTCCTAAAATGATCATGTGGCAGAAAAAGGCATCATGAGTTTTGATTGTTAATACAAGGACAAAACAACACAAGTAGTTTAAAAAAAAAAAAAAAAAAAAATCAGCCATGAATCAATCAAAATGTGGGCCTTTACACCAAATTGCTTTGTAATATGAAGGATGATAAATCTGTCATTTCAAATGATCCTTACATGCTATTAAATGTTGTAACTGAATTACTACTTACAATAAAACAGCCAATGACGTCGTTTTCACCAAACTTCTCACCAAAGTCTGCGAATTTACAGTCAGCAGACTTCTTTCCTGTTCCTCCATAGCCAAAGGAAAAGGCCTCCTCACCTAAAAAAAGACAGAATATTTTTCTTTTAAGTCAACCTTCTCTTTTGCAGCATAGTATCAATTATGTGAAACATCATCTTGATTGACTGGCCAATCACTTCTCTCACCAAGCTGAGTGCTGCAGTGGTTGAGTGACCATCCGATCCTGACCACATGCGGATCTGGCTCACTACTGGGCAGGTGCTTTACAGGAATTTCCTCATTGATCTGAGGAGCCAGAGACAAATCAGGTCAAAAAGAAGTCTAAAGAAGACGGTCAGGAAATATCCAGTTCTGTATAACAGCAACGAGTCATCACATTGGAAAGTAGTTCACAAACAAGGACTTAAATGTCACTGGTGTGGCTTTTTGGACAAATTCCATAAAATAACCAGGTTATGACTGAGTTCAAGATTAGGCAGTATGGAATTTTGGAATTTTAAAATCCCCAGTGTTAGTATTGTGCAAATATATGGTGCTTCTACTGACATCAAAAAGGCCAAAAGAACAATGTATTAAAATGTAAAAAGATACTGTATGTTTCTAGGATAAACAAAAAAGCTGCTCATCCACTGTTAAAATAAAATAAAATAAACAGAACCTGTTTCATGTATCAGGGACCATTATGTTACATGTGGACAAAGAATACAGAAAAGTTTATTTATAGTAGTTCAATGTTTCACAAGACAAAATATCAAGCTCAGCAGAAGAGTTTGCATCAACATCTTATTGGCTGTACGCATGAAGGACAAGTCTATCTAGTTTTAAACCACCTTGACATTAAAGGAAGATACTTATTACAAATTACCTTCATCTCATAACAAACACGGCCCTCGGTGACACCATGTGTAGCTCTTGCTCCAGCCCACAGGTAAGCAAACCCTTCGATGGTCAGTGGATAACCGCTGTAGCGATCTCGGGACACTTTGAAATGCAGATCACAGTTGTCTGGGGGACAAAATAAAAGCCAAAACAGATTTTTAAAAACATTTTTAAAGCTGGTATAACAGCATCAAGTGCTTTAAATGCAAAACATGATTTAGACCATAGACTGTATAATAAAGATGACATGTCAGCTCCCCAAAAGTCAAGCCAAAACACCTCAATCACCCCCTGGTGGTGGCTGCAGTAAAGGTCATAAACCCTGCCCCCTCCATGTTAGCAGATGAGACACTGGCCAAACTAAAAGACTACAGTACACGTCAAACAAAACAAACATCATTTTAAGTAGTTCTTGCTACGTTGATATAAGTTCATCTTTCTGAAAGTTTGGTTTCAATTATTATTTGATGCCATATCAATAAGATCTGACAGCTGTGTGTTCCTAACAGTGCTTGCGATTAGGGATGCACCGAATATTCGGTAACCGAATATATTCGGCCTAATATTGCAAAAAAACACTCATTCGGTATTCGGTGGAATAAGTTAAAGGCAAGGCCGAATAATAGCGGCGTGTTTTGATAACGCGATCAAACGGCATGCCGTGACGGGCGGAATAAAATGTCGGCAGTGTGGCGATCCGTCCGTCACGGCACTCACATTTGCGACTAAAAATAGTTTTGAGCAAGCAAAATAGGTTTAAATCATTCAGCACGCTGTGCGAGCAGCCTACAGATTTCAACCAGCAGCAGAAACGAAAGGCGAATCCCACCAATTGTGGGTTGAACGGGGGTCACAGACACAGACAGTAACGTTAATGTATTCCTGTCAAATACGGCGGCCGTCGGCTTACCGCGACGGAAAAGTTGGCTCCAATAATATCCTCTTCTTGGCGTCATGACTGCCCAGAAGTATCTGAACAGCCGAGCCAGCCGAACACAGGTATGTGATGTGTCAGAGGAGAAACGAGCCTTTCACATTTCTGTCTTTGTGTCAGTAACGGCCCACAAACCTCACCGCACTTTAGGGACTGTTCATTACTTATGAAGGGACTGTCAGGGGAGGAGGGTGGCAGGTTGATTTTTATTTTATTTATTTATTTTATTTTGATCCCCCCTATGTTCATCACTCATTGATGCTGTTTTTGAAGTATGAATAAGTCAATAAGTAATTTATTCCATTGAAATATCATTGATATATTATAGAAAAGTGATTCATCTTTTCATAAATAACAAAAGGCACATCTGATTCATTTTCGCTACTCAGAACCATGATATTTTCATTGGTATCGCACAGTGGGTCCCAATTTTGGTACCGTGACAACACTAATCTGGAGGGGGTTCATCTGCAAAAACTAATGAAAAACTAAACAATAATATTTGGTATTTGGTACTCGGTATTCGGCCAAGCGTTTAATAATATTCGGCCTCGGCTTCAGCCACAAATTTTCATTTCGGTGCATCCCTACTTGCGATTAATGCTGTTGCTTGCGATTGGTCAAATGGGCGTATGGTCGGGATGTTGATACCCCATAGATCACCACTGAACAGAATCTGGCTCCAAATTATGTCACCATTGCAAGATGGCAGCAGCTGTAGAGCTGTGGAGTGGGAGGAAGTAGAGAGCTGTTGCACATCTTTATATGCAGTCGTTGATATAGACATGCATCCATTGCTGTAATCTAAACTGCACAACTGTATGACGTGAACATATAAAATGTCATTTAAAGCAGCTTTGGCATTGAAATGCTTCTCGTGCATTAAAATCAGTGCTTGCAGTTCCAAACCAGCAGCCTCTTTGGATTCATTCTTCTGAGACTCCTCAGTCTTTGGCATACACTTTACTACTAACATGTCTAGCTAAGTGACTAACTGAAATAGTTGAACTGAAACAGAGATGCTCATGGCGAATGAAAGCCAGCCAGCTCACATTCAAAGAGAAGCTGGGATGCCATTAACAGCTGTGACTACATTTTTCACAAGTGGTCGTTGATTGAGCAGAGATGCACTTTATCCTTTTACTTACAAGTATCGATCGTCACAAGAGTGTCATCTATGTTCTCTTCCTCATCTTCAGCAGGGGGCTGTGGTGTGCGGGATCTGTACAATATCAGCACAGTGAGAAGTCAACGGTTTCATTGACAAATTTAATATTTATAGACCAGTCAACCACTGTACATGTCCCTTATTATAAGCCTGAGGAAAAATAACACAATTTTAGGATGGGCATACCTCTTGTCCTCACGGTGCTCATAGTAGCCGTAGCTCCTGCCCTCCTCATATGGTCTCTTGCGGCCGTAGTTTCCACCTCTATCAGATTCTGCTTTGACTTGCTCAGCCTGACCTGCACCATCTTGTCCACTCTGTTGCTCTGTCCCATGACTATCCCGCGGTGTGTCTCTATCAGCCTCAGGTTCATCTTCTGTTTTCACCTCCACTTTGATTTCTAAAATGATAAATGGACATGAAAGTGAGCTACACTTTGAGTGTTACAACTGTTCAAATCAAGCTTGGTGAAAAAAAAACAAACGCTTTGAAATAATGTGGTAGATGTTTGTAATATTATTTCCCATAGTGACTGTAACTTGGGCTGGACAAAACATACATTACCGCGCTAACTACGGTTGAATATAGACCTCCCTGACAGCGTCATCAAATATATGAAGTGATTATTACAAACCTCCCAAACTATTAATCATGAGTCACTGTATTCCCTTAGACTGTGCAACTTTACCTCATAAATTGATATATTTGGATTTATCACCACACATATTCCATATCCAGTTGTCAAAGCCCTGCCCGTCTCATCTTCTGCTGACACCATTGTACCATTGATTAATTAGCATGATGGGTGTCACTATTAAACACTTGTATATCTATGTGGTGTCTGCAGTATTAATCTCCTTCAACTTTATTTATATCCTCACTACTCTCATGGCAAACATTTCATGAGATAACCAACAATGTGGGTTTTTTTTTGTAAACTCACTGAAAGTGACATTTCGAATTTACAACATTCCACAAAATGCATATGTAGACCAAAACATTCTACTGACCATGCCTCAAATTATTTGTTTAGCTGAAAGAAAATGCTGAAAAGTCACCTTGTTTGTTCTCAAGGCTTTCCTGTAGCTCTTGCACAGGCTTGGTCTCGTCCTCAGACCTCATGTCAGATTTTTGTATATCCACATCTGCTGTGAAGTCAGGCATGCTGTGACCTGAGTCTGAAGCTGGCTGACTTTCATATGGCTCGCCTTCTGCCTCCTCGTCCTCGTAGTAACCACCTGAATCTCGACCTTCATCTTCCTCTTGGGGGATATCACCTTCACCATCACCATCGCCATCGCCATCCCCATCCCCATCCCCATCTCCATCACCATCACCGTAGTCCTCAGCTACTTCTGCATCTGAAAAGGGGAGATCCCAAGCTTTAGTTCTCAAGCCCGTAAGAACAGAAAAATCTAAAGCCATGCACTCTTGTTGAAGCAAGTTCACGCTGACCTCTCTAAATTAAAGATGCAGAAAGGGCAATTATACACACAATCTGTAAAGGGGCACTTCTTTTTATTTTCAAAGACAGGGTCAGAACCCAAAGATTGGAAGCGATTGGTGAAATAAGCTTCATCAAATCATCTTCATCTTAAAGATGGCTCTGTCGCAAGTTAATGTGGGTATAGGATGCACATAAGGTCAAATCAGAGATAAAATGCAAGACCTACTATTGATATCAGAATAAGCTTACTTTATAAACATTATACGCCCAAAGCCAATGATTTGAATACCACACCTGCACTACAACTCTCTTTGCCTCACACACACACACTACCAAACTACTGCACATATACATTTACTTAATTGCACTATGTACACTCTCCATAGTCATACATGTCATACTACTCACATTACTGTATATACTGAGCTTTAAAGTATTCCTATTTTTACCACTGTCTATACTGAACATATCGGATCTATAGTGTGTGCAACTTATTGATATCATACCTCCACTTGTTAATTCTGTGTATATATACTGTCTAACTTATAGTGTTACTTGTAAAGAAACTCCACTAACTGGTGCATTGAACTCAATGTTAACTAAGACCAGAAATCTCTGGAGAATAGAAGATTGTGTCAGTTTTCTAATTTGCGCCCATGCTCATGCTTTTTACACCACACACTCAAATTTAACACAGCATAATCATCAGGTTGTCCTCTCTCTCTCTTGGAAAAATGCAGTGATTGGAGTTTCTGTTTTTGACAAAAGGCCAGCAGTTTAAGACACTCGAGACACCACACACACTTCACATGCTGTGTTCATCAGGGTGTTCTCTCTCTTACAATATAAAAAAAAAAACTGCCTTGACTTGGGTTTTTTGACCACGCTACCTAAGTATTGGATGTGCACCTCAGCTGAACCTCTATGAATCTGACTGTCTGATCAAGGACTCACTCACCATGACAAACTTTGGCTGCAACTGGTGACACACAGGTAACTTAGATCAGCTATTAAGTACTAGCGGTGGGAATCACCAGAGGCTACACAATACGATACTATCACGATACATAGGCCATGATACAATGTTACTGCAATTTTAAAAGGTGTTGCAATACACTTAGTATTGTGATAAGATTTGTTGTGGTATCGAACCTTTTTTTGTTTTAGAAAACTTTAACAGTTTTATTCAATAAAATAAAGAAGTTTGTCTCTTCATCTCACTGAGTCCTTTTTATTTGCAGCAAAATGTATCTAGTAAACTGAAAAAGCAACTGATTATTTTATTCTAGTAGGCTACCAAAGGTTTGAATTGTATTGTTAATAATTTAAATAATTAAAAAAATCTATACTTGGTGTATGTGTATGATGTTGCCACACAAAAATATTGCAATACTGTGCTGTATTGATTTCCCCCCCCCACCCCTATTAAGTAGAGTTTGATACACACAGACGTATTCAAAAGACTTTCCGACATTTTCAGTCTTTTTAAAAGAGTTTTTCATGTCTTTTCCACTTATTTATACTTATAGGTAGAAACTCAAGTCCAACCTGAACATGTTATTATTCAACTTTGAAGCCAGCAATTCAGTTTGGCACCTTTTAATACATTATGGGTATTTTTCGACTTTTCAGTGACATCCATACTAAGTAAGCCCACCCCCACCTACTCATTTATTCCTACTAAGTCACCGCCTTTTTACATATTTAAACCTGAAATACAGAGATACACCAGCTTCTAAAAAATGTTGAAATATTCCACTTTCACATTCAACTTCTCAATGACATCTCTACTGAATTCAAATAAACACAAGAAGTTTGTGCTCTAATAAAAAAAAAAAAAAAAAAAAAAAAGGGATCAGCACTCAGTGAACAATCCTCCTAAGCCCTACGATAAGCTATTATGGCAAGGCTTAACTATACAGACCCGTGAGCAGTGATAACTAACATGTCTTTGGGGTCATCGGGTGGGAACCTCCTTTCACCGGTGTTTCGTCTAGTTAGTCCCATGACACCTCCAGGAGGCTAGACAGTGATCTCTGGCGTCCCAGAGACACTCCCCTAATGCCAGGTCTCACTGCTCCCCACACTAACCGAACAACCTCCTTTACCTTACCTATACTACCACAGAGGAGGTAGACCCAGGGAAGGAAGCCTTGTTAGGCTATCACACTCCCCCGCCGGGTTAGGCTGTACATTCAACTTCTCAATGACATCTCTACTAATAGACCCTTTTCCACTTTGTTAAACTATTTCTATGACTTTCCCGTATCCTAACAAATTAAATCTGGCAAGTCATTATAGTGTCAGCTTTTCAACAACCTTTGAAATGTTCCACATTCTTTGTAAAATATTGGTGAATTCAACATTTAAAACCAGCGTTGCAGTGCAGCTTTAGCTTATCAGCAACCAGCATTCACTTATTCTGTACATTACTGTGCATTTTCGTGCGTTCTGCACGTCTGGTTAGATGCTAATCTACATTTTGTTGTCTAAGCACCTGTACTCTGTGCAATGATAATAAAGTTAAATTTTAATCTATAATCAAAGGCAATGTCTGACAAGAGAACTAAATATCTATTTAAGAAACAACATCAAGCGGGCTTACCTTGTTGTTCTTGAGCTTCCTCTTCATCTTCGTTTTCTTCGTTGTCCTGGTAGTCCTGGCAGTAATCATCCTCCTGCTCCCCCTGTTCTGAGGCATCCGCCTCCAGAGCGGCTTTCAGCCTCTCCACTAGGTCTGCCTTCAGGCCTCTGGTGTCCAGGCCGCGGCGCTGGAGCTCCTCTTTTAGTTCGTTGACTTTCAGTTTCTTCACGTCAATACTCATTGTGTCTGTTGTCGGTTTGTTGTCTTTATTTGTTTGCTAACAAAACAGGGAAAGTAACAAATAAATGCAAAATACAACTTACAACATTGCGTCTAACTTTCAAATCAATATCTAATGGCTGCAGTGTCTAAGCCAAACAGGCTACATTAGCTGTTAGCTTAGCCGGCAGCGGTAGGTTGATGCTGCACCATTTTACCTGGTTCCTTTACATGTCTATACAAAATGTAATCACGGTGTTATGATAGCTTATTCCTATATAGTTATTTTACACGTGGCCATATAAGCTAACTAGAATATTTGTTATTCGCTTCAAGTTGTCGCTAACGTCGGCAGCCGTATTAGCCTAGTACTAGCTAACGTAGCGACAACTGATGCCGGATAAGTAACTTTAACTTAGAAACTATCCAAGCTACGAGCGTCTCTCTGTTTTGCATGCAATTCTACAGTCAGTGCATAGTTGGCTCAGCGTATAATATGGTTATGATGCAAAATAACCACAAAATAAGGTTAAGGCCTACCTCCTCTCACGCGAGTTGCGCGGGTCATCCGTGGTGATAGATGAGAGTGTCGCTGCTGCCCTCTAAAGGTCGGAACCTAGATCGAAACCTACCACCGGAAGTAAACAAGAATGCACAGGTGTAGTCAAAGATACTAGATTACGTCTTTGGTTTAGTCTACCACTATTTAAACACCGAGGGGCACGAGTTGTATCTACCAAAGACAGTTGCTGCGACGCCGTGTAATACTTAAAAAGACAGACGTGAGGGAATACCTACACACTGGCAACTTGGACCACTCCAAATTAGGAGGTAGTACGGTGTTTGCATTGACTGAATTCTGGGTAATGTAGTGTTATAAACCTGCCAGCCTGCTGAGCATTTCGGCCTAACACGTCAGTGGTGGCAAGTAACTAAGTACATTGACTTAAGAACTGTTCTTAATTAAAAGTTTAAGATACTTTAAGATAGGCCTACTTGTAGTCTTTATTGCGGATTTTCATTTTCTGCAACTTTATACTTCTACTCCACTAAATGTCAGAGGGAAATGTGTACTCTTTATTTCACTACATGTCTAACATCTTAACCTACTTTGCAGATTCAGATTATCAAAACTAAATACAATTAAAAAAAAATATGATGCATTATTGTACATTAAACTACCCAGCAGTATTTAAAGTTGTTAAAATCAGTTCCACATGTACCAGCTGTAATAATAAAGTGATGAACACATGATTGCATCACAAATTATAATTCAACAATACAACATAAAGCCTGTTATTCTGAAATGAGCCATTCTGCATAATGAATAGGTTTACATCAACACAGGGTATTTTTTTTTCTCGTATTTATACTTTTACTTAAGTAAAATATCAGAGAACTTCATCTCTGCATACAGTACAGGCCAAAAGTTTGGACACACCTTCTCATTCAATGCGTTTTCTTTATTTTCATGACAAAACTATGAATGAACACATGTGGAGTTATGTACTTAACAAAAAAAAGGTGAAATAACTGAAAACATGTTTTATATTCTAGTTTCTTCAAAATAGCCACCCTTTGCTCTGATTACTGCTTTGCACACTCTTGGCATTCTCTCGATGAGCTTCAAGAGGTAGTCACCTGAAATGGTTTCCACTTCACAGGTGTGCCTTATCAGGGTTAATTAGTGGAATTTCTTGCTTTATCAATGGGGTTGGGACCATCAGTTGTGTTGTGCAGAAGTCAGGTTAATACACAGCCGACAGCCCTATTGGACAACTGTTAAAATTCATATTATGGCAAGAACCAATCAGCTAACTAAAGAAAAACGAGTGGCCATCATTACTTTAAGAAATGAAGGTCAGTCAGTCCGGAAAATTGCAAAAACTTTAAATGTGTCCCCAAGTGGAGTCGCAAAAACCATCAAGCGCCACAACGAAACTGGCACACATGAGGACAGACCCAGGAAAGGAAGACCAAGAGTCACCTCTGCTTCTGAGGATAAGTTCATCCGAGTCACCAGCCTCAGAAATCACAAGTTAACAGCAGCTCAGCTCAGAGACCAGATGAATGCCACAAAGAGTTCTAGCAGCAGACCCATCTCTAGAACAACTGTTAAGAGGAGACTGCGCAAATCAGGCCTTCATGGTCAAATAGCTGCTAGGAAACCACTGCTAAGGAGAGGCAACAAGCAGAAGAGATTTGTTTGGGGCAAGAAACACAAGGAATGGACATTAGACCAGTGGAAATCTGTGCTTTGGTCTGATGAGTCCAAATTTGAGATCTTTGGTTCCAACCGCCGTGTCTTTGTGAGACGCAGAAAAGGTGAACGGATGGATTCCACATGCCTGGTTCCCACTGTGAAGCATGGAGGAGGAGGTGTGATGGTGTGGGGGTGTTTTGCTAGTGACACTGTTGGGGATTTATTCAAAATTGAAGGCACACTGAACCAGCATGGCTACCACAGCATCCTGCAGCGACATGCCATCCCATCCGGTTTGCGTTTAGTTGGACGATCATTTATTTTTCAACAGGACAATGACCCCAAACACACCTCCAGGCTGTGTAAGGGCTATTTGACCAAGAAGGAGAGTGATGGAGTGCTGCGGCAGATGACCTGGCCTCCACAGTCACTGGACCTGAACCCAATCGAGATGGTTTGGGGTGAGCTGGACCGCAGAGTGAAGGCAAAGCGGCCAACAAGTGCTAAACACCTCTGGGAACTCCTTCAAGACTGTTGGAAAACCATTTCGGGTGACTACCTCTTGAAGCTCATGGAGAGAATGCCAAGAGTGTGCAAAGCAGTAATCAGAGCAAAGGGTGGCTATTTTGAAGAAACTAGAATATAAAACATGTTTTCAGTTATTTCACCTTTTTTTGTTAAGTACATAACTCCACATGTGTTCATTCATAGTTTTGATGCCTTCAGTGAGAATCTACAATGTAAATAGTCATGAAAATAAAGAAAACACATTGAATGAGAAGGTGTGTCCAAACTTTTGGCCTGTACTGTATATTATTACATATTATCATAGGTATTCTACATTTTAAGTACTTTAACTTTTTGTACTTTAGTATTTGCTGATGCATATACTTTTGAACTTTTACTTGTGTAAATGTAGCATGTAATGTGAGTATTTCTACATTGTGGCCTTACTCCTTTAAAGACCCAAGTCTTTCTCACAACACTGCCAGACTGTAGAAAAGTAAAAGTCATGAATTAAAATTGTTACTGAAGCAGAAAATAGAAATTACCTCAAAATTGTACCTAAGTACAGTATTTGAGTAAATGTATGTAGTCATTTTCCACCACGTAAATAGATATCATATAGTTTACAGTTTACTTACATTAAGTGAGGTACCATGTAAACAAATAATTTGGAGTGATACCAACTGGGGGTGATTTGGGCTCAATTCCTAATTTTCAGTAAAGTTTGTATTCTCTTTACTTGCGTGTAAGGGGACAAAAAACTCTTTTTACAGACAGCACACTATTTTATTTTACACCATACTTTGTACAGTTGTCACCACATCCAATGCATATGAACCATAAAAGTGATTTACAGTGTTAATTCAATATGGGGACTGAAGGGCCAGACAGTCCTAAAAATAATCAGAGCATGTGACTTGATGTTTGTTTGTTTTTGTTGTCCATTTTTGGCCTTCAGTCAAATGCACAAAATATTTCTCATTTACATATATCTCATTAAGCATGAAAATCAGAGTTTCCTATGGGATTAATGTCAATGAGGATCACTGGAGCTGTCATAAAATATATTAACTTTAAGGATGCCATTACATTTTATTGTAAATCTTTATGTACAATCAACTTGATCATGGTCATGCAAGATCAACCATAAATTAACACTATGAATATCATAGTAATACCCCTTTACAACTAGCTGCTCAAAACATGAGCTAATGTAATGGCACCTAAATCCACAGCGCACTGATATGCTTATTTCCACCTCTTCCATCCAACGTAATGGGCAGAGGACGGTGTGTGAAGCAGGATCATACTCCAGCTGTACATGGTAGTACTACGTTAATGCACACTTGTCCCTTCACACACAGACCAACAAACAGGATCACACCATGTAGCAAAGAACTAATTTAATCACTTTTTGTTGGGAACAGGAAAGGACAGCAGGTGCCTGTTGATCTCTCTCAGCTGAGCATCTAGAGTCTCTGTAGTTAGCGTTAGTTCTGCTATTTGAGTCTGTAAGCTTGTGATGGTCTCATTCTGCTCCTCTTCTTTGCGACGAGAGTTAGCAGCCTGCCTGCTGTACTCCAGCACCATGCATCCACCACCAATAAGGAAGATGATTGTCTCTCCCAGCAACTCTGCACCCAGCTCTGCAGCCGCCTCCTCATTCAGGGGCTTAATGGTGGAACCCCGGAAGCCCATGATCCGCATCTTCGTTCTCATCTCAACCCAGTGGTAAACTGTGAGGACAAAGAACAAACTATGTGCAGTTCAATTTTGACTTTTGATATGTTATTTGAATGTTTGCAATTTTGCTTCAGATGATATCAAGTAAATAGTTTGAAATACATGTGAGAATGCAACAAGATGCATTTGTTCACATTCTGTTGGGAGTGTACAGCTGACTGTGTAGTGAGCTTAAACGAACACTAAACCTCTCCAGCACAGCTTATTGGCATTAATTCAAATAAGTCAGGAATCATTTTGTAGTCTGTAACTGATGCCAAGCCCTTAACAACCACCACCAGCTGTAAAATATAAGATAAACTTCGACTGATCCCTAGCACAGACATTTGGTTGTTGCAGCAGCACAAGGATAGCAATATAGATGAATATAGAGAGTATACAAAATAAATAATGAGATGTATATTACACTAAAATGAAGCACTGGAGGCAAAAATGTCAAGGTAAAGTCACAGTAGTGTGATTACTGATGTAAAAACATTTACATTAGTATATAATAGTACACTATGATAAGTATGGCTTATTAGACATAGAGCAAGGTGAAAGGAAGCAACATATATATATATATATATATATATATATGCTATAAATATTATGATAAAATAAAGTACAGCTGTATAAAATAATATGCTAGAATGTAATATATAAAGTATCGTATGGGTATAAAAAAATAGTCTATCTCAATTTTTACAATGAGATAGTTCTTCGAATTATCAAATCCAATGTGTCTCAGTTTAAATGAAACTGAAAATGACTAGTTAGAGAGAAAAAGGCTTTTGTATTCAGTGCTCTTGAGACAAGCTCTCTCCTAAACATACAGTTTGAATAACATTATATCACATTAGTTTTACCTTGTATTTAAGCAGCGTTTAGTACGACTTAACTGACAAGTGTGTCTAAACAAGAGGGCACAGTGCCTTTTCAAAAGGCATTCAGGGTGCTGGCTTCATACAACCTGTTCAATGACACACAAGACCCGCCCTCTTCTAGCTTGCCTGGCTGCTACTTGTCGAGCCGATGAACCCGTGAAAATGATTGGTTAAGCGGTCTCGACAACTACAATCTCATTGGCTGGCGTAGCTCTCCTCGCTTTATCCCTCGTCCGGGTGTCTGACACTGCAACTAGCGGTCATTGGTAGCCGTTAGCTCGGTTACTCACTCTGTGCCGGTGGCAGGCAGATGTAATTCTTAAAGAACTCGCTTCTCCGAGCTCCTGCTTTTATTCTGTTCGCTACAGGCTTGCTCATCTGCCTCACTCCGAGGTAGAGGAGCTTGGCGATAGGGAAGGCACCAACAACCATCTTGGCGGAAACACCTCGCCAGCGTAGGGCGGGACATGTAGGACGACGCGATGACGTTAAATGATAGACAAACCCGCCCACGTGACAATGACGTTTGCACAAGCCATAAGCAGTGCCGTAGAATATAGGCTAATTCAAGGGCTCTCGTCACAAGAAAAATCTTTGCTTTATCTCGGCAAAACACCTCTGAAAGTATATTTTATGATAGAAAAGCTTCACTTATTCATTATTTATGAATAAAAACAATAGTCATTGTCATTATCATTATTATTATTATTATTATTATTATTATTATTATCATTAAAACTCTAAAACTCAACATATTTGTCTGAACTGCTAAACCCAGTTTGCCCTCTGCCCTCAATGTGTACCAGGCCAACACTTTATTAGTTGAGTCACTTTCTTTAAAAAATGTGGACTTACTTGATAGAGAACCCAGGTAGACACTGATGTTTCATGGGTAAAGGTCATGTTGATTTTTGATCTCACAGTCATTAATGTAGCCCGGTGACAGGGTACCTAAATATTGGGTAAGCTTTGGTCCTTATCTGATTTTAACACCAACATTATTTAGAGAGTGGCACTGTATTCATTTTAATAATTCTTTAAATGCAGTGGTGGGAGGCCATATTGGGATCTTTTATTTCAGTAAAAATAGCAATTCCCCAATGTAGAAATACTCTGTTACAAGTAAAAGTCCTGCATTCAAAATATTACTTAAGTAAAAGTAAAAAAGTATCAGCAATAATTTTACTAATTTTATTCACGGCACAAAAAAGGTTTCATCATGCAGTACAGCCCATTTCAGAATAATGTATGTTAATTTACGTATAGTTATAATGTATAAATGTGTATCATGTTGCAGCTGGTAAAGGAGGGGTTTATTTTTTGTTTTATGCTGGGTAGCTTGTGAATTTCACCAATGGATCAAAAAAGACTGATCTTCATCCATACCAATACATCAGTTTATTTATTGATTATATATCGTGTTAAAATATTTTGATGTGGTCAAGTAAAAAGTACAATCTTTGTGTCTAAAATGTAGTGGAGTAAAAGTATAAAGTAGCAGAAAATGGAAATACTCAAGTAAAGTACATAGCCAAAAAATGTAGTCTAATGTAGTAGGCTATACTACTTAAATAAATGTAGTTTACTTACTCTCCATCATTCCTAAACTCCCATCTGGTCCAGGCATTAATGTATGACATATAAGGTTTCAGGTAAAACAAGAGCTGCTGAATATTCAATATAGGCCTACTGTAAAGACACAACCATAATCTATATCTAGTCTCCACTACATCCTGTATTGTTGTGATGCTTGTAGCCTACCACAGCCTACCACTGTATAGGTCATACTGCACATGCATCATGTATTACAACCATTTAAACGTGGTACTGTACAGTTACATGGTCAGTGTTTCATAAATCTGTATCAAAGTGTTCATGATAATGTAAAACAAAATGAATTTGTGTTCATGGTTATAACATAGGTTGAACATATTGCACATTTGCCATATAAATGTGTAAAACTATAATATTTTATTGTCACAGTAGGCCTATATTTTAGAATATGTAATAATAATGACAATGATAATAATAATGATAACAATAATAATAATGAATTGTATTCATAGGCGCCGTTCTAAGCACTCAAGGACACATTACAGGACATGACCTGCATTCAAACTCCTACGTAAAAGCATCTAAATATAGCCTACCAAAAATAAGAGTACTGATTATGCAGAGTGGCCCATTTCAGAATAATATCTATATTATTGGATTTTGATTATTGGTGCATTAGTGTGTTAATTAATGTCATTGTTGCGACTGGGTGGAGCTCATTTTAATTTCTTTATACACTGCGTGGTAAATTAATCTAGCCCATAAGTCTGCCACCACTTATAATGGATACCATTACCAATGAAGCTGTCTGTGCCTGTGGTAAATTATGTAACGTCGCCTATAGACTACGTCTTCTTTACATACCCGTCAATTAAAAGTGTTAGCTCAAATGTGATGGTATGCTTCACCTGAGCCAGCTGTGGCAGAAACACCTGGCTCGGGTTACAACAGCGCAGAGAGCCAGAGGGGCTGGACTCTGAGCCAAAATAACTCCGCTCAGTAGCTGCGGAGCTATGACTAAATGTCTGGAGCAATCGCCACAAGAGAGAAACACAGTGCGAGCAACCCGACTTCAGAATCAGGAAGACAAGGAACTTTGAACAGTGCTCTACTTTCCTCTCGACTTTGGGACAGAAAATCACCAAGGATCTCATTTTTGAGGTAAGGAAGTGTTTTAAATCACTCCGTAGCGTGCGCACCTATCTGCGTGGGAAACACTGTTAGAGGTGAAGAAGAATGTTTGTCTTAAGATCTGCGTTGTACGACTTTGAATAGGTCTTTGGGTGTAGAGTTTTAAAAAGTCGAATTTGTTGGTGTTGGTAATCTCAAGTTCAGTACAGTCGTGAAAACGCCTTTTTCCCCTATGAATGGTTCTTTCCATGGTTCTCTCGTTTATTGTGAGGGGTCTTGAATGCGAGGAGGAGCTTGTTCTCAAACTAATGAAAATCAGATGTTACCATCCCTGCCTGGCATGCCTCGCAGTCTGCACCCACAGAGGGAAAGCTCCAGTGCAACAGCCAGCTGTTGGACATTGATTGACCAATGTGCAGCTCACCAGTTAACTGACATCACATACAGCCAGAGCAGTCATTTATGGGGCTTTGTGACATCATTAATAGTGATTTAATAGTGATCTTATCAGTTAGAATGGTATCTTTATGATTTTTATGCGATATTATCTTTGAATGTTCCCCTTATTGTTGTAGACGAATACTATTTATGGTGATTTTAAGTTGTGCTGTGATAAAGAAAAAACATCCTCACATTAAGAGAATTCCTTATGCACTGAATCTTGTGACTGCAAGTTACAAGTTCAAATGTGTCAGTTATTTGCTTAACCTATTAGCAGTGCTGCTAATCTGTAAGTAGACCAAACCTTCCTGCTGGAGCAGGATTTAAATGGCCTCTATCCAACTTGTGTGTGTTGCTCTGGGTCTCAAAAACCAGCTGGGCTGCATTGTGTGATGCGCTTGCTGTAACCTGTCTCCAACAAACTTTTTCTACCGTCACCAAAACACCTGTAAGTCACCTTTCTCCGAAGTCATCAAATGCATGCATGCTCATACATGCAAGCAGGTAAACCACCTGTCATTCCTTGGTCATGGCCCTGCTTTGTGCTCTTTGCACCTTGGTGTGAGCATGGCACAGTGCAGGCACCAGACTGGGCATGTAACTTGCCAGAAATGTCTGTTATGTTGTGTCGCACTGAGAGATTCCAGAGGCACATCACATGCTGTGGAGAGCAGTTTTGCTCTAGAGGTGGAGGGTAGCTGGGATAGTGCTAGAGGCTACTATTCCAAAGGAGAGTCTGCAGAATCAAGAACCAAAAGAAGACTTAAGACAACTTGTATTGCTCACGGATTATTTGTTATCATGTCAAAAATGTCCTTTGGTCCATTGTTTGTGTACCCTTAGTGTCTGCAGAGACTGATTGTTATTCTCAGCTTGAGAAGGTCACAAGAGCTGCAGGTTGTCTTAGGCATGTTGTTTTTGGCAGTGACAGTTGCTGTCTTGAATAGGATGTACTATGTGTGTTCGTGCGCATGCATACTCATTTGCTTGTTCGTGAAAGCAGAAGGCATTTCAGTGACTAACTAGGTCGGAGTTGCGGGTGTATGCATCATAAAAGTACTTTGGGTGGAGTTCTTGTGTCTGAGAAGCTTACAGTTGTTGGAGTGTGTAATTAGATGATATGATTTCTCTATAGACGTTCATGGTAGGTATATTTCAGCATGGATTTCAGCACTCAGCATTAGTCATTTAATTAAACAGGTCATGTAGTTGGGAAAATGTCAATACAGCTCATTACTGCATTGTAGTTTGGTCATAGTTTTACAATCTGTCAGATCTGAGGTGATACAGTTAATTTTTTTAGGAAATCCTCTTTCCGTAGTTGAAAGATAAAAACCATTTACAGTTTGATCCCCTTCCTAGAACACCATGACACCGAATTACAATGTTTGACACAATAATTTCACAATACCTCCGACTTGTTATTGTACAATTAGCCTTAATCTCCTGTCAAAATCCAGGAATGTCCACAGCCCATTGCAGATGGATTCCCATTACATGAGATAGTGGTGAGCCAATGTAAACATTTACTCCGATTTTATCTTTGACATTCTACTCATGGCATGTCAGTACCATCAAGGGATTTCAAACCAATGACACTGTGGATATTGAGCTGTACGAGAGCTGTTCAGAAAGCGTCTGGAAATTCATTTTTAAGTGTTTTTCACTGGAACCAGAGAAGAGTGTGTGTACGGTAAGAGGTTCATTCTCCTGTGGGACATTAGTTAGTTTGTGTTGTCTGAATGATGACACACAGCCAGATTTAGTTTTTCCTTTTTTTTCCAAAGAAAATTGAAAGCAAGCCACAGAGGGAAGTGTTTCATTGTGTCTGAGGATTTTGTTTCTAATATTTAGTCTGAGCCAAGTTCCCTACCAGGAGTGGACAGAGACAAGGCCTGAAAGTTCTGAAGGAAGGATATGAAGGAGGGACCAACAAGAGGGGGAGGAAATGAATGCATGACTTGTAGAGTTCAGCACAAACTAGAGAAACAGTTAGATGTGTAATCTGGAATTGTTGGAGGTCATAAAAGGAAAAGGAGAGAGGGAGGGGCCACTTGTATTCTTGGTCAGACACACCCTGGCATTCTGCAAAGCTAATGATTATTGTCTTCAATCCTTAAATGTCCCTGATGCTTCCCGCAGGATCTCTCTGCTTTTCTGACTATCCGTTTACAAAGTTTCTGAGTTCCCAAATGCTTAAAGTCCAGTGTGCAAAGGCAGTTTTGTTAAGTGCTCCTTCGTGGTTTCATCTTGTGGCTTCCATCTTGGCTCTACCACTCGAGAGAGCTAATTGTTGCATGTTAAAATGGTTGAACCAGCTGACACTG